GACGAATATCTCGATTTGATTCGATTATTAATAAGCGATTTACGATATCTAACGTCATTCTGGCGCCGACTGTTCATAACAAACACGCACCATACAACCCATATTCCTCATTTTAATTACTCGTACAGATTCAATATTATCATGAACTGTGACCCCGCACGCTTTTACGAACAGACCAGATAATTTTTTTCTAATAAAATATTTTCGTTATGAAATTGGTGTAAAAATTAAACTAGGAAAGAAATTGCACATTTCAAAAACACGCAAGCAATAATACGGTATCTAAAACTGAGATAATAAATCGTATTTATTTATTTATTTGTATTTTAGTATAAATTATTTCTCGGAATATTAACGAAAAAATACGTCACTGCCGCTTACGAATAACATGTAATAAGGAATAATTGTTAAAAGAAAAATTAAACTTTTAAAAACAAGGAATAATACAAAGTTCACAATGGCTTATCAATGTAAAGGAAAAATAAATCGCCCGTAATTGTTTGCGCCAGGTGTAAATTGTAAAAAAATTATTAAAACAACCATGTTTTGGTATAATGAAAACATTAATTTTCGATTTTAAAAACATTTAATTTTCATGGCAATTTAACTTTGATTGGCCAATCACATTTGGAACTAAAGTTTGATAGTAATCAAATAATCAGCACTTTAATGAACAATTTAAATTTTTACTATATTTAGGAATTCAAAAATGAAATTTTAGGAATACGTAAATTTTTACTATGATTAGCATATTACATAATTTAGTGCTAATAAATCAACTAGGCCATGTAATACTGATAATTCTGGTCTTCTGATAGTGCTTTTATTATACATTTCGTACGTTGAATTATGATCTATTTATTTATGCAAAGCTTCATCAAATTAGTAAAGTCATCAATTTACATTAGGAAATAAAATTTGAACGCAAATTCGATTAACGCGCGATGTTGATCAAGGCCGAGTCAAAAGTTTGCTGATTTAAATTGCAAAAAAAATCACGCTCTAAGCCAATGATTCCCGGCGAAAAAAATTAAATGAGATTTTAATAATTTCTAATATATTTATTATGCGGAGAACTCAATTCTGCCGCGTGTTTACCAAAACATATTACGTAAAAAATTATGCAAAATTACGAAATAGTTTCTAAAATTCCCAGTGTAAAACCTAAGTATATATGTAGAATCACAATAAATTTCGCTGTTTTTTTTTATCGATTATTCCACAATCTCGTAAATTAACGCCTACGCAGTACTGAAATTACTAGAAATATGTATCTATAATGGATATTTATATTGATTTAAAAATGTCAAGTAAGCCTAATCGAAGCATCACACAAGCAACATATTTACACTATAGTTAAATATTTGGTTAATAATATTCGATATCCCAATATTTGTTTAGTCGCGTAAGGCGCGATCAATTTTCAAGATTCAACTGAAGGCATCAAAAATGTGAAAAACGCATCAAAATGAAAAAAAAATTGAAAATTCAATGTTATTCATATTAAATATCAGCATATAAAACGACTTCGTTACCAGACAGAACTTTATCTAATAGTTTCCCAACTCTATTCTTTCAAAAACCTCAGGCTTTCTTATCACACAACAAACACCTTACGTAAGCCACAAGGAGCCCTCTTGTCAATTACATTAGATTACTAGATACTACCTACTAATGAAGAAAATCATCTCGCACGTGAAAGTTCCAGATTAAAGCATTTTATAAATAGAAAGTTATCGCTAACTTAAACAAAAAATTCAACTAATGTATTAAAAATACACCTCTGGGTTATTGTGTCTGATATGATAAGTGAAGTCGCGAAAACAATTACTCAATATTATTTAAATTTGTGCGCTGGTCTCGGAGATCCGCGATTGCGGCAGGTTAGTTTTCGCTTACCAGCAGTAAATAGAATGTGGAAATTTTGGATCGGCCTATGGATGCCGTTTATTTTCATACGCTTGTTTACTAATTTACTACCATTCACGTAATTATTTGTGTAGTAGTAAAAATATTTTTTGTAAATAACGTTTTTAACGGTTATTAATAGTTTGATCGACAAGTAACAAAACAAAGCGTTGACGCGGGTTAAAGAATGTCTTTGAACTTTACATTGTAGACTCTGGTAAGAGGTTATCAAAAACATGAACGGATTATCACTCATAAGAATGAACATGATGTGATATTAATGCATGTTTTAAATAGAAAAAATACACAGTAGGTACAGTTAATAACAGAGAGAAATTACTGAAAAAAAGGCATTTTTCGAAGCTATAATCGAGAGGAATTCAATATAATTTATGAACGCTAATTTGAATTCAAATGAATTTTACTGTTATATTTTATGGCATCGATTCGGCGTTTTGGATGACCATCAGCTTTCTCTAAAATATTTTTTTTATTTCTTGAAGAATTTGATACAACGACTATCGAGTTTATTGAACTCTGCACTCACCTTACAACACACGAAATTCGTTGTCTAGGTACCTACCAAAATATTGCTTCTCTTAATGCCAAGTTATTAATACATAAATGTATTTGATAATTTGTTTTATTTATTGAGTTCATTTTGGTATAAATGATAAATAAAAATTGTTTACTTGCAGTAAGCACTATAATAAGGCGTATTTGGTTATATCAAGTGCATATTTTCGTTATGCGCAATTTGGGAATTTTCTATTCGTCAATAGGATGACGAATAGGAACACTCACCTCTCGCAACCCCTTAGCATTCGCAAGTGCAAATACAAACATGACTTGGAATTATTTCTATTCTCGCCACCGAGAACAAACACTATCCATCACGGGCGGGTTGTCATTAGAATTGGCGCTCTTTAATTGTTTATACAATGGCTGGTTCAATGCCTTCGCGACTGTCGTATCATTATTTGTTCTGACTGGCTTCTTGATTAAGTGGCCGCGGTGCATATAATTGAAAACGAACGCCATCGCTAACAGCTAATTTTCCCCATGTGTTGTACAAGAAGACCCTGGAATGCGTTCTATAAAAAAGCCGCGCCAAGGGTAATGTTTCTTGGTTGAAAACGTCGCGCAAATACCGGGGAACAGTTGATGGTCATAGCAATTAGATCGGCAAACATTCGGCCCTTAAAAGGGATTGTTTTGAAGGACTCAATTTTTTATAAGCTGTAAATTATACTAGTCTAAATTCTATCTACAGGAAATAAATAATAGGAATAAAACCTTTTTTTAATGAATAATATTTCTACGATTCGTCGGAATAACCTTATAAAAAGCTCAGTAAAAATAGCAATTCATTGACGTCGAGAGTGCATGCATGTTATTTCTTGGAAAAAGGATTCCCCTGATTTCCACACCGGAAAGCAAACAAATATTTTCTATCGCAATTAAACCAGAAACCACGCAATTAACGTCGAGATTATAGTTTAATTAATAATATAATCCTTGAAAACACAGTGCGGTTTTTGAAAGTCAACAAAGTACTTCTTGTCCTATTCAAATTAATTATCGTTTCATAAATTCGTAAAACCGATATACGCAACAAACTGGAATCTAAAACAAAAAACTACGTTTTTATTTACGTGAAAGGTCAATCAATTTGCATTAATAAACAATATTTTTTAGATACCTCTTGATCCAAAATAAAATCGTCTGTCACCCGGAAAACGGATTACGTATGCATAGTTTAATCTACATATTAATTAAAACTGTTCAAATGATGGAAAAGTAATTGCAAATACCAAATTACTTGACCAACGAGCAATTTCTGGCCAAAATAAGTTCGCCAATTTGCAAAACATAAATTACAAAATATCAGCCCAATCAAATGTTTACATCAGGGTGCTTTAATTACATTATCTACCTACATGTTATAAATTCTCAAAAATTACATAAGAAATTAGAAGAGGCAAGGTTATTGTATAAATAAATAACATATCATTGATCCATATCACTGATATGATAGATGGTAATCACGTAATGCTACTCTGGCACAAAGTAATTGCATGATTTCAAATACCAGGTATGCGTATAGATGCATTATAAAATACTCGAAACTAGTAAATCATGATGCAGTAAACGAACTGGTTCGATCTGGTTCGAATGCACGCATAATAATTGGAACTAGTTTGAGTTTTTATATAAGGGATAAGCACAGCCAAACTTTTGGATAACAATTTTAATTTTAAATGAACTTCAGCCGACCCAAGGAGATCGATATATAGATCGCTATGAGAATAAATGTCCTTGAACTTGTTTATTTTTGTTTTTGTTCATTTTTTTCGTACAGACCAATATTAATTCTTGTCAGTTCGATAATAGGTCTCGAAGATTTGGAACACGTAAGGTCACGGATACGTGCGATATTTAAAAAAAAACGTTACAATCTAAAATACTTATAATTTTGCTCGAGGAATTTATTTATAGAAAACGCTACGACAAACATGCCGGGTGACTTTAGAGGCTTTTTTGAGAAGGTATCAATCAATGTCACACATTTTGCGTTGGCAACATTGATTTGTCATAAAGCGACGGTTTAAATGTATTATTTTTATTAAGTTGCGACAAAAATCGATAAAAATGTGTCTGAATGTGGGTGCGTAAGTGACTAACTAATGTAGAAAAATTTCTGAGGATATTTGACTTTTTTAGGTAGAAAATTGCCTTGATTGTTTCGAAATAACCCTTCTGAGAACATCATTTTTACTGAATTAAAATAAAAAATTGGCATACTTCTAAAACAAAAATGTTCTTTCATTATAGTAGTAGGAAACTATTTTTTTAAATCTTGCATAAATAATTTATATGAGTTGCAATGCGGAAACGAAACTTTACATCAATTACCAAAAAAAAAGAGATTACCGGAATTAATATTTTTTTTATTTTTTGATTGTTTATGCAAACAAGTAAAGCGATTTTTATTGATTCAAGATAATTTTTTATTGCAACACCTACAATGTGTAAACGCGCGAGCAGTAGACATAAAAAACAAAAAGTGACTCAGATCAAAGCGTAATAATAGACAAGAACAATTAGACTTTTTAATACATTTTGTTGAATAGATTTCTAACGTAAAGAATTGCATAAATGAATTTTGTTTGTGTTTCCTTATTTGTGGAGTTTCTAAATTTCAAGGTTGGTTGTGACGTGAAATCTACGCGAAAAATCATTTTTGCTACCCAGACAATGTGCGTTTTGTGCATTTTTTATACGTGCAATGGTATGTTTTCCTTCCGGTAAAAACTACTTATCATCTTCCTAGCCAATAATTCAACAATATTTTTCAACTCTGCAGATATTCATTTATATTATTTTCTTTAGGACTATTAACAAAGCAAATACGAGAACAATAATTTGGAAATAATGATTTTAGCGTTGTAATAAAACAATAAAATAACATTGCGTTTTCTGTTGTTTATCATGGGATTGCGTTAACAATAATCGAATTATTTTATTTTGTTATTTTTTAAACTACGGAAAAACCTGCGTTATATTATAATTAAGCAAATTAATTATTATTTTTTCTGTAATAAAATTAATTTGAGGAGCAAAATACCTTGAGATTCTATATTTATGTACCTATAATATGACGCAAAAACTGATGTATCGATGCCTTTAAAATTAGTAACAAAATTATATTAATTAAACGAAAACACTAGTACCTATACAAATTGGTACTAGTATTTAGCGCCTCACTTTAACTTTAGAGTAGTCGCGTCTTTAACTTGACAGTTTTACATTGTTGTTATGGAGTAACTAGGGACTCGAGACGCAACTTTAGAGTCACACTAAAGTTAAAGTGAGGCGCTGAATACGGGCCAATGTCTTTTAGTAGGTAAATATTTTAATAAATTGGTAGGTAGTAGGTACTTCGAAAAAATTCAAAAAGTATTCTGCCACAAAATAGTAGGTACCTATGTACTTATTACAAACATTATACACATATCAGTTCCTATCTAAACTATGTATTTAATTACCCGAAGAGAATGCTATTTAATTGTTGATTTAAAGTAATCTTAATTAACAAAGAAGAATGTTTTCCGTATAGTTTTCGGGTAAACAATGTTTGTTATAATGGCATTTAAATTGACTCTATACAATGAATATTTAATAGATATTCGCATATATCTAAATAAATAAAATTAGGCGGGCAGGAGGCGAAAGCATGTGCTTATATTATATTGATATCCAAAAATGTGGTCATTTACCGATTTCAAGATATTACAGATTGGGATTATTTAAATTTTTTCGAATATTCTACCGCGGGTTATTAGGAATAACTGATTTTTTATGTCTAGCTAATTAATATTCAATCCCAAAATCTACGGGTTTAGTATCTTCTTGTATTCACTTCCTCGCACATATTCTAGATTAAAATTATAGGCAACCATGTAAAGCGTCGAGATTGAACTTTGAATTTAACATACAAAGCGGTCAATAACAAATCGAATGTTATTTGTCTTTTGATAGGATTTTGTTTTTATAATTCGAGACATTTAATTATCAGGGGTTTTCAGGTCAAAGGTGCTTGGCCTATAATCTCTAATATTGATCAACTATCTTTGTTGCTCTTTTATTTCCGGTCGAATAAAACTATTTGTATACACACTTCAAGGGTTTTTACTCAACCGTTTTGTTTTCCAGTAAAACCGTCAATTATTATTCGATCGAAATACCGCTAACTACTTACCAATTTGTACTCAAATTCGTTCGAAATAACACTATAACAACATCCATGAATTTACATTGCATTGATTGGCATCAATCGTAAACCAATTCACATACTTTACAATTTGAATAAACGTTAAAAATAACGTTATTAATATAGAAAAAGAATGCAATTAAATCGCTAGAACATATTAGCACATAAAAGTTTGTTTACTTAAACTATAGAACAAATTACAAGTAATAGGAGTTTGTCTCGACTGCAATTATTGGACAATAAATTATTTATGCGTAGACACTTTTAATTACTTTGAAATTAAATATAAATAAAATATAAGTGTACTTCTGTTCACCTAACAAGTTAATAGTTATTTTTATAACGAAATTAATAAAATCGTTTTTGACGATACTATTTTGATTTAGAGATCTCGAAATCTTTTTATAGGAATCCCCGTTTTTTATAGAAATATTATCCCTATTTTGTTTTTATTTTATTTTTTTTCTCAAAAATTACCAAGTCTACTGAACGCAATTGGCTTCAATACTAACCTTTAAAATAAATTTGCCATTACCGTCAATTTAATAGATTTCTTCAATGCGAGAAAATAATGAAAATTTTATATGCTAACATTTCAACAATGTAATAAAAATTCAGAAAATCTGGACGTTTAAAGAGCTATTCACGATTTTAAGTGGAATTTACATAATAAATAAAATTTATAGAATTTTTTTAGAATTATGATAACGCCACTGAATTTTTCATAGAAATATAATACAACGTAGAACAAAATATGAATAATTAAAGTCTGTTTTTATCTTAATGATATTCCCCTGGTTTACTAACCGAAACCATTTAATAAGCGAAATTCAGGTTGCATACAAAACAAATGTGTATCGCCAGTGTTATTAAAATTAATTATTAATTGTTGTAAGCTTTTCATAATATGTTTTCTTATTTACTAAATAACTGATGTTCGTTTATTGAATACGACGATATAACGATGATATCAACTGCAATTATATTATCGATTATTCAGAAACAGACTGGTAATAACAAATTATTTTTTTTTACTTGAATTAACTTGCATCGTAATAAAAATTCGTATAGTTAATAACCAATGCCACATTGCCAAATTTAGCTCGGGAACAATTTTTCTCCGGAAAAAATATAACATTTTTTAAACTTACCCTTTTTGGCAGACGACTCTCCTTTAGGTTTTTCTTTGCTTTGATCGTCTGCAAGAAACACAATCGATAAAAAGGAGTAGGTAGATTCGAGGATCGAGAAACTACACATTGAAGGAAGCAAATAAGACACAAAGTTAAAATAATCAATAATATTATAAAAGGTGTTTACTTACATAAAACGTTCTACCTTGAACTTTACTTTGAAATATGGGAAAGATTAATAAAATTTGAATAAAGCAACTAAATCGTGCAGAAATTGAAGCGGGGACAATAAAGCAGGTAAAAAAATTATTACTGACACGTCTCGCGGGATACTTAAATAAGAATTCCTGCAAAATTATTGGATAAATGTAATTTAAGTAATGGAGTAATTTAAGTAATGGACAATTATTGCTTATAAAGATATCTAATATGCTTCGGTATATTCTTAAAGACATTAAAAAGTAATTAATATAAAATCTGGCATAACAAAACAATAATTAATCATAATAACTAAATTAAAGCACGTTTGGTGATTTTAAAAATTGATTTCTAAAAGATTTTTTTTTAATTTAATGACCATTGAAGTGAACATTATATGCAAATAATATTGGCTCTCGCCCATTAAGTAAATGAAAATTCTTGTTTTTATCCTTAATGGCCTTATTTGTGTTTTTTCGGATGGTAGTAAACAAATACAATTTATTTTTGTATCATAAGCGAACATCTTAAAAGAGAGTTTCAATAGTAGTTTTATTACAAAGAACGTAAACATTTTTATTATTTGCTCTATCATAACATCAAAACCGCATTTTTTAAGGGAATCAAAGACACTGGACTGGCGTTTTGAGAATATACATGAAGTCAAAAAATTGCACAAATTTCATGTAGATTTTTATTACCTAGACTGGTACAGTATTAAAAATAATCTGCAATATCTCGTCTGCAAGTATTTCTATTTCTTCTTGACTGAGGGCGATAAAAAAAAGTAATTCTCGCCGATTTGGATAGCGCCGTTTGTTTAGGAAGTAACCTTCGGGAAAAATTTATTTGCGTCGTCGAAGGCACTATATTTTCTAATTTTCTTTGGCAAACACTCTTCCCGTATCTAAATAATTGAAACAGAGAGGAACGTGAACGGGAATTCGAATATAATTCGATCGCCTTTACAGATACAAACAACATTATTTGATCGGTTTTTTGGCATTGCGGAAATACCGCTTGCAATGTTCTCGGTTTTATTTAAAAATTTATATAAAAAATATATTTATTTATTACAATTTTCTAAAGAAAAGTATATTTCTTTAGGAAGTACCTAATAAGCGTGTGGTAATTGGACTGTAAATTTCGTTTTCTTATAAAAAAAAATCAAAAAAAAGATCACAAATTAGCTTAATGCGAGTATTAAATAGCATTAAATACATGCGCTACGATTTGGCTTACTCTGTTAAATGATAAATATCGTATCAATTTGACGACAAAAAGCTATTAAATTCGACAAATTTGACCTTTACATTAACCAATATTATCAAATATGTCTACACGAACTTCATCAACGATGTCCAACGGTTAGGAACAAATCAATGGATCGGAAATTAAGCGCAACCTTACTCCTCCGGATTGGATAATAGCAATTAAAACGTTCGTCGAATAATCCCATTAACGCGGTATCGAATCAACACCGCAGATATTCAATTAAGCAATTACATTAATTCTAATTTGAATAATTAAAGAATTACCGAGGTGATTACGGCCATAATTTCTAATTTGCGCTCCGCTGACTGGTCATGAATACTTTCAAAGGGGCGGCAAAGAAAAGGCGCCAACAGACAACCTTTGCATGAAGATTTTAGAATTATTTCATCGGATGTAAACGTTATTTTTTGTAGGTATAGAAATAATAAATAAATAAATAATGTAGCATGTATTAAATTAAATAACAATGTTAACTAACTGTAATAATAAAGAAAAACTGCGAAAAGTCTACCAATGATTAGTCGAGTTAGCAACCTTGCTAAGAATTTACTATAAGATGTAGTATTGTAGTATTTTGTATTGAATGGAATTCCATTAGGGGGACATTGCAACACCATTACGTTTCTTCTTATTTCTTAATTTCATCAATAAAATTCAACCGGAATTCAGTAGTTCGAAAAGTTATGGAAACTTCCTGTTTCTTGTTTATTGCATAGATGGAGCTAGACTTTAACAATGAATGACATGTTGAGCAAATTGGCGCGAATTTTGTCTAGAACAAATTCTATTTTAAAATGAAATCACGGTGCTAATAGCAAGAAATGTTTAATAACGAGGGGAAATACTGCTTAATAAAAATATGAATGCCCTTATTCAGCGCCTTACTTTAATAACTTTACTTTAACCTTAGCGTGACTTTAGCGTGACTCTAAAGACGCGTCTCTAGTCCCTAGGTACTCCATAACAACAATGTAAAACTGTCAAGTTAATCACGCGACTTTAGAGTCACTCTAAAGTTAAAATAGGTCGCTGAATACGGGCCAAAATATTTAAATTCGCGTCGAAATCTTTAATTTTGTTTTTCTAGTAGGCTTCCACCATTTTTCCAAGCTAAGATGGAGAGACGTATTCGAAATAATTACAGGCCTAAAGACAGAGCTGGGTTACTAAAATTCTATTCTTCAATTAAAAATAACAAAATATAAGTGCAGAATATGTGCAAAATGGATAAAACTATAATTAATAACATAAGATATTTATACTGTAAAATATACTATGAATAGTCTGAAATTATTTTAATATTTATGTATGTACATATGTAGGTATGTGATTTTCGATGGCGCAGAAACTCAATAAAATCGAAAATTTGGACATGTTTTTGAGATTATTCAATTTGACCGTGAATGACTGGGCAACTTGATTACGGCGTAACGAAACAAAAACAAGAGAAAATACCGGTTTTTTGACACAAATTGCAAATAAGTTAATTATTGCTATTGGTCAAGAGTGTATAAATAATCGACGAAAGTGTATTTAAATTACCATTGGTAATTAAATAATATACACTGACGAACTACATTTTACCTAATTATTGGTTTCGTGGTCCCTACATACATAGATGTACAGTAAGTAAATAATAATGAAAAAGTTGCATGTACATATGCCTCAATGTATGCTAAGGCAAACGACTTTGTTGTATGTGTTTTATTGCGTTTTGCCTGAATTTTAAACAGTCAAATTTATAATCAACCTCTTTAAACGAGTAGTGTTATTTCTTCCAGAAGTAGGGCAATTATTTTATTGGAATTTATCAGAATTAATTTACAAGTAATAATGAGAAGGTAGTTACACTTTTTATGATACTTCTACCTAACAAATAACCTTCAATACACACTCTTTACTATACTTAATCATAAGGCAATATAACAGAAAAATAACTGACCAATCATTGTATCTAAATATTCAAAGATAGTATTTTTTTATCAACTTGTATTGAACATAAAGTGTAGTAATATTGTAAATTCAAAAAATGTTTTAAATTTGAAGTGTGAATGAAAACAGTTCAGTAAGAACTTGCCGTTACAAACAGTAAATTACATCAAAAATTAAATTTCAAAAACATCATTCATATGCAACTCGATTCAAGGTCATTGATAATAATAACTTATTTAGCAAATAGAACACCTTGAAAACATTCTAATTTGTGGTAGTAAGCAAAATTGTACTTCTAGATTCCCTATCTACTAATTATTACACTATTTTTTATTGTAATTACTATTATTTTGCAAACATTTTCGACGAAAATATCGTTATATCAAGGCAACGAAACAACAACTAGATGATAACAATAATTCAATCAACTTACCGGTAGATTTTGTAACCCTCACCCTTTGGATTTTTCTCGCCGAACCCGAGTTTTTTGAAACGCGTTTTAAAGGCATTTTTCAAACGAAACCTATGCAATTATCCGAGAACACTTAATAAAAATAAAAATATTAAAAACGTAACAGAAAAACAACATTCGCCATTACTGAACTTGACACATGACAGCTGATTAGTCTATTGGTAGGCAATCTGCATTTTGATTGGTCGATATTCATGAGCAATTTCCACGTGGTTTGAATGATATTTTTGAAAAAACAGAGAAACTATTATTAGTACTTCTTTTATTAATTTTATTTATTAAAAAAATAATAAATTAGTATGGTAACAGCATAAATAGTGTAATTATTAAGATTTGATTTATTTACGTTTGGCCATCTGTCACAAATAAAATCAACTAATTTAACAGATGTCATTTCGAAACACTCATTTTTGGGACGAATACACATATAGACGTAGACCAACATTAGAAAAAAGTAGAAAAAGTTCTTAATTTTTCAAAATTATAATAATTACTGTAAGTATTAGATTGTATATTCCACTAGTTGAGTAGATTTCAATAATTAATAATCAATTTTGAGTAACACCTCATATTATCGTAATCACAGAACATACATAAACAAGAAGGGACATCGCCGTGAGAATTTCGTAGACGTTGTAGAGCGCACCCTGAGAGCACTGAGTGGTACTAAACGGTAATGGAAACTGTAATTTGTAACTAGTAATGGTTGTTGCATAGTAAAAAGGGGATAGTATAAACGCAGTCGTGTAATACTGGTTTTCTACTCAACTTTATTCTTTTTCTTGTTCGTATTATCCAATTTCTTGTAAAACTTGTACAATTTATTATACTATTATAATTTATAATAATAATTATATAAAATGTATAAGAATTTTATGTAATTATTAAATATAGATACATAGTATAAAAAATTGTACAAGTTTTACAAGAAATTGGATAATATCGAAAATAATTACTTTCACAAATAAATTAACGACAAAAACGTTTCATTTTAAAAATATATATTTAAAAAACATACAAATTTGCGGATTTAAAATTAGATATTAATTAATTCAATATAATTTAATACCTACATATATAAACATAAATATAATACACTTAAATAGTACAATATTAAAATAGTTCATCATAATTTTAAATGTAAACCTACGTATTATGAATAATAATTTAGACTTTAAAGTACTTTGGCCTATTAACAATACAATAAATAATTCACAAACCTTTCTCTGAGAAATCCAGTCATTTTATATCGGTGGTCGGTAGCTCGCCAAACCCAATAGAACTATCTCCATTTTCTGTAACAAAAAAATAAGCAGTTAATATGATAAAAATGTTTGATGAAATTATGTACGAATGTTAATTATATTTACCTTGAAAAGAAAGCATGACACAGCAATCTTGTCTGATTTCAGACCTTCCGATGATTGGAAATCTGCTTTGGAAAAATGGCGATCGACGCTGCAACAATTTCTAAGTCTTGTAGCAATAGAATGGTAGAATCACGTTGACAATACACAAATTATTCATTTATAAAACTCACAGCAAATACCAAAGCACTTTGTATAATCGATAACTAACAATAGTTGGAAAAAATATTTATTCGGTTGTATTTCAAAATTTCAAAACTCTTCGAACTGCACATGTTCAAAAATCGTTAATAATGATCTACGGCATGTTGCGCGGGTTGCTTGCGCTGTTTCTCAAAAAAAACGATCGCCGCGCCAACTACACGCATCGAGTAAAACTAAATTGAACGTCGAAAATTTCTCATAAGGCTGTCCTGGGCCTCGTAATTTTAAGTTCGACATCTTTTGACAAATTTATGAACTACATATATTGCCTTTTTTGTTCATGTCAAAATTATAAACGTCATTGTAAGTAAACGTCAAAATCATACGTAATAATAAATAACAAAATAATAAATAATAATACGGTGTAACTGTAAGTTATCCAGAACGTTTGGTTTCATTGAACTTCAATTTACCTAGTATAGGTATTAAACAAATAAAAAGTAAGTAAGCTAATAATTACGTTTGATTTAATACTTCCTACATTTAAATATTTCATAGTTGAATGATGAGTGCTCCTCCGGCGCCTTGCGATTGGCAAACTACTAGAAAATTAGTAAAAGAAAGAGGCCAATATCTACTAGAAACCGGCACATGGAGTGATTGCAGGTTTATTGTCGGTACAGAGCCAAATCAACAAGTTTTAGAAGGGCACAAGCTTTTTCTGGCCATGTCTAGTCCCGTCTTTCAGGCCATGTTTTTTGGAGGAATGGCAGAGAAGGATCCAATTGCTATTTTGGATGTTCAACCGGATGCTTTCAGAGCTCTGCTGGAGTATGATAATTTTATTACGCTTTTAATATTTTAATAACAATTTTTGATTGTAGATATATTTACACAGACAAAATCAATTTGACTTCATTCGATCAAGCTTGCGAGTTATGTTACGGTGCTAAGAAATATATGTTACCTCACCTTGTCGAGGAATGTACGAAATATTTATGGTCAGATTTGTATCCTAAAAACGCTTGTAGAGCTTATGAGTTCGCTAAATTGTTCGAGGAACCCATGTTAATGGAAAAGTGCATAAGAGTAAGTGAAATGTACATTCCATATTTTGATCATTTATTAATTTGGCGGTTTTAAGATAATATGTAATCAAACGCAAGAAGTTCTTCAAGAAAACAGTTTTGACGACGCTGAATTGTCGACGATTTTAACAGTTTTCGATCAAGACGAGCTTAATATCAATTCCGAACTGGAGTTGTTTATGGCAATTAGCCGTTACGCTGTGAAACACAACCACAGCTCCGGTGCGAAAGTCCCCAGACTAGACGGTATAGGTAATTGCTATTTCTTTCATTTAATATTCAACAAATACTCGAGAAGTTTTTAAGTTTGTAACTCAATATAATTTATGTTTATTACTCTAGCTAACGCAACCAGTGAGGCAAATAGCAGTCGACCTACAATCAGAAATGCCATAATGAAGATACGTTTTCTCACGTTATCGCCCCAGCAATTCGCTGAAGGTCCGGGAAAGTCTTCGTTGTTAGCGGATTCGGAAAAATTCGCAATTTTAATGAACATATGCAGTCCCAGTTCTGCGGTACCTATGCCCGAAGGGTTCTCAACATCCGCAGCACCCAGGAGGAAAACTAGGTCTTCAGATTCGTTGGTTGTGGTAAGTATAAAAAAACTCACAATAAGGGAATTATTATTTATAATTTGAACTTAACAAACTTTTATGATCTTTGATATCAAAATCTTGCAATTCGATCCATTGGTTCACTTTTTCTTCGACGTTTTCTTTATCTAAGTCTTCTGTTTCGTCTTCATTGTCATCACTGTCTTCCCAAATACTTAAGAAATCTTTGGCTAGTTGACTTTTGATGTTATCGGAGTATTTGATATTGAATTTTTGTAAAAAAGGCTTCTCCAAGCTCTGGGTACTAGAGTTTTCCGGTTTGGTGGCAGCCTTTTGCTTGAGAGAATCCATTACATCAGTAATATCTTCGAAATGTGTAACATGTAAGATCTGCTTGGGTTTCGAAAGAGTTTTTGTCCACTCATGTAATACTTCAATTGGTTCTCGGGCACTGGGTTCGGATTCAAATACGTTTTGCTTGAATATTTCACCGTAACAATTCGACGAAAATATACTAATGGTGTTGTCTAAATTCAACACTTTTGTACCGGTTATCGATGATGATAGTCTATTTTCTAAGTGCTGCTCTAAAACCAACTCGGGGTAGCTTAATTGGGTTTCTATTAGAGTTTTTTTCAGACTAGGAATTTTGTATGGTATTGAATATGGCGATTTTCCTGTGAAGAGAACCTTATTACTACTATTTGCACCGTTTTGTCCAGAAACTACTAAAAATATGTCTGTGTGAGTTTTCGTATAATCCAGATAACAAGGAGCTTCGGATAATGTATGGGAATAGTGGCTGACTTTGGTTAAATTCCTCAGATCTGTTTTGAGAATATAATGCATTGAGGCGACTAGTAATGTATTCTTTATATCAACAAAATTATAAAACCCGTTGCATTTTAATAATTGAGGCTCGAAACACATTTCATGCATATTACTCCTCATATCTATTAATTTAATCTTTGCTCTATCCATTAGTAAAATTGTTTGTTCGTTCAAAAATCTGAATTGTTGAAAATTATCGATTTCATCAGTCAGTTCATTCCTAGTGCTAAAAATTGTTTGATCAGTCGTAATATCAGTCACATTTAACTTTCCGTTTGGTAAAATGAAACCTATTTTATCATCCCCGTAAAGTTTAGAATCCAATACCGGTAGCTGGTGAGTTTTAGAGTACTTTAAAGTCATGCTAAGAGTTTCATCACATTTCACTACATTTACTGTTTGTTTTTCCCTTATAGTGAAATACAAGTCATTTCCGCACTCCGTAGAGTTTATATTAAATATCGGAGTTTCAGTATGGAAATTCACTCTAGCCACTTCTTTAGTTAAATTTATGCCACGTGATACGTTCGTAATGCACAATTTATTATTCACATCAGGTCGAATTAGATAAACGTTGTCATTTAACCGAAAGTATTCCAAATTTCCACCGGTATAGTAATAATTATAGTGACTGTTGAAGGTATCATCGGGGTTCTTTCTTTTCCTCCAATCGATCATATACCGAGGTAACGTAATGTATCTTTCATCGGCTTGCTCTTCTTTGATGATTCGATTTTCATCGTATACGGTGAACCTTCTGCGAATCGATTCGCGCAAATTGTTGTATTCCGCCTTCTCCTTGAGCAACTTCTTGGCCAAATCTTCGGAGGTTCTTAATGGCACGTGCACGGGATAGGGTAACTCCACGAATACCTGCGAAAACGTCCTGTCGGTCCCCTCGAAGAGGCTTTCCTCGCTCGAATTGAAGAGATTATCGTGCCTGATCTGCCTCAGCGTGTGTTTAATTGTGGTTTCTGGGTTATCCTCGAATAACATCTTATGGTTGCACTATTAATATTTGATGAATATCACGTCGATTAATATCACAGAAAAAGAAACAGTAATTGATTATGCAATAGTGATTAATATTTTTAAGGATAAATTTGAATGAGCTTTGCGCCAGTTTTGTTGTTAGGTTATGTTTTGGATTGTTTTTCAAGATGTCATGTGTCAAAGTTGTCATGTCAAAGTCGTCTTTGCTTCAGAAGTGGCCTTTTTCGTGTGGGTTATTTGCGTTTTGTACAATCAAAAAATATTTTTGGAAAAGTGATAAAAAAATTACCGATGAAATTACAAAAATAATTATAGATGAAAGCAAAATTTCAAAAGATTTCTCTCTTTTTAATTATACGAAAGCATGTTAAAGCATGTTAAAATGAGTTTGAATCTCTTCAAAAAATAATCAAAAAAACTTTGAAGTAAAATACAGTGTGTCCCACATAAGAACCGACACCGAGCGGAGGCTTGTAGGGGAGGCTAAAATTATGTTGTTTATCCCAGCTTTAACTTAATACAGCCAACTTTTGAATTATCGATGATTTTATGTATAACATTTATAGATTATGCATAACTTTATTTTTTAGCGTTTTTCATGAAAACGACAAAGAATTTAAAATAATAATTTTTTAACTCATCCATCAAAAAATTCCTTATCATTTTAAGGGAGCATCACCCCTGATGAACCCTTTAAAATGCAGTCCGTATAAAAATGTAACAAAAATGCTTGCTTAGAAAAGACAAATTAAGGTTGCTTACAACTAAAACGGCAAATAAATCTAACAAAAATTAATTTATCAACACTTGGTATTGCCTCCCCTTGCCTATATGATGCCTTGCAGGCGCCTCCTCATCGACATAATTAAGTTGGAAACAAAATATTGGGGTATCCCGTTCCACTCCTACTCCAGCGCAATTCTGAGCTGGTTGATGTTCGCAGGTGTCGGATTTCTGGCTCGTATTCTCTTTTTGAGCTCATCCCACAAATGCTCAATGGAATTAAGGTCGGGACTGAGGGCTGACCACAACCGGCACCGTTCCACATCCGAGAGGGATGACCACTTCATCGTATCGACTCCACTGGGAAATCGCCGTCTCACGGGCCTCGATGTGCAACAGCAGCTGAGACAAGTTCGAGGAGTAGCTGTTAGTCAATGGACAGTTCGAAGGCACCTGAAGGAAGCCAACCTCACTACAAGACGACCCGCTAAAGGTCCAAAATTTACCGCACATCACCGCCAAGCCCGACTCGCATTAGCTCGGGAGCACGTCCATTGGGTAATTGATCAATGGCGGACTGTTCTCTTTACTGATGAAAGCAGAATCTGTCTCCATGGTAGTGACAGGAGAAGCCGGGTGGTCCGCCGTCCAGGAGAGCGATTTGCTCAGTGTTATATGGGGTGGCATCATCCTTGACGGCAAAACTGATCTTGTTTTTGTTCCTGGTGGAGGCCGGAGGGAAGGTTTAACACCTGCATGGTACATAGAAAACATTCTCCAGGATGATGTTGTGCCGTACGCAGGAGCTATCAGGGAAGATTTTGTTCTGATGCATGACAATGCCCGTTGTCACGCAGCGTGCATCACTTAAGAATTCGTGGATGATGTAGATTTCGAGGTAATGGAGTGACCAGCCCTCAGTCCCGACATTAATCCCATTGAGCAATAGTGGGACAAGCTCAAAAAGAGACTACGAGCCAGAAATTCGGTACCAGCGAACATCAACCAGCTCAGAATTGCATTGGAGGAGTAGTGGGATACCTCAATATTTTGTTTCCAACCTAATTATGTCGATGAGGAGGCGCCTGCAAGCCGTCATACAGGCAAGGTGAGGCAATACCAAGTATTAATAAATAAATTTTTGTTACTTTTATTTGCCGTTTTAGTTGTAAGCAACCTTAATTTGTCTTTTCTAAGCAAGCATTTTTGTTACATTTTTATACGGACTGCTGTATCAGGAAAATTACTTAACCAATTTTTATGTTCAAAGTCTCATTGTAAAGGTAAATAAAGGGGCTTTCAAAAAATATTGTTCATGAAAATCGGTTCTACCATTTAAACAAAATAGGACCTTTAGTACGCACTGGTCAGGTAAGTCGATTTAGTTGCACGCGAGTGTAGATCAACTGATCTCTCCTAACTATCGATTAATGCTCTTAGTACACTCATAATGTATACCAAATTTAGTTGTTTAAAGTTTGACTATTACTGAGATATTATTATTTTTTATTTTTAAAGGCCTATAACTTCTCAGAAATATAAGTTTGTATTAAGTTAGGTTGTGTTAAAGAACAAATTTTAGGCTCCCCAGCATGCCCCTACTCTCGGTCAGTTCTTATGCAGGACACCCTGTATAGTAAATAGTTCTGAACAATCACTACATACTCTCTTATATCTAATTTTACTCAATTGCATGGTTCTTATTTCGATTAATTCTTTCTAGGCTGGTGCTTCGATGATGGATACCTCTCGAACGTCCATGATCCAATTCAATAAACCCAACGCAGAAATGTGCTCGGAGTTCTTCAAAAAAATGTACTGCAGCAGGCAGCCCCTGCACATCACCGAATGCATGAACACCAGCGTGTTCGATTGCGCTGTTACATTCACCTGTGACAAAAATATCTGCGTGTTTGGAATACAGGTTGAGTCCGATAATTTCGAATCACGAGTTTGTGAGTAATTCGAGTTTTTTTGTAGGTGCCTGCTCAAGTACCGAGAGACGATGAGAGAGTACCCGTTGGAAATTTGTACCCGGAATTGTTATATGCCCATTTGCTGGACGGAGATGGCAGTCGATTGACTTACACTCACTTTACGAGTAGAGTTCATTACAGATCGTTGATTGAGATATCGTTTAATCGTCCCGTTTTTATACAGAGGAATAAAGTAAATAATAAACTTAATAACTATAAATAAACTACTAATTTTATTTGTTTCTTTAGATATACAAAGTCGGTGTGGTGTTGAATAAAGTGGGCTGTTATCCGGTAGGAACTTTCCCCAGTCAATCTACCTGCAATGGTGTTGTGTTTACCTTTTCGCAAAATCAATGTGGTGATTCCGTACGTGATGGATTAATTCGTTCTATCGTCTTTTCTGTATCTTCTGGTAACTCTAACATGATTCCGACACTCTCGGCCGATCACACGAAATTACAGAATTCGATTAATTTAATATAAAATCAGTCGAAACCTGGTTTTTATTGTTAATAATTTGGTTGTATTTTTCTATTACCTAGATATGAATTTGTGCTTTGTTTTCGTTGATATTTTATTATGTACTAATCAGTTTTAATTGTAATATGCTTGTATATAGCTGCAGCTTCAGAACTAAGATGTGAAGTAAAATTTTCGTTGAGGAATATCCGTTGTCCAAATTCTCCCAGTGGGCGGTTTTTTGTTTTTTTTTCTGTTGGAAAGATGTATTTATTTTTTTTATTGAATGTACTATTGTAGGTTTTAAGTAAAATTGAACAAAATAAATGTATCTGTGCTAGTCGTTATTTCGTTCTTTAGAAAATTAGTATACCGTTACCAATTTTTCAAAATAAATTTACTGTAAAATATGCTACAACATACGCAAGTAGGCAACTTGTACATTAAACATCAAAAATAAAGTTAAAAAAATATATAAATGTATACATTACCTAACGAAATATAAAAGTAGATATAAGATTACTGGGATTTACTATTAAATATCTCTTATCTTAATTAACCCTGTTTTTATTTTATCGCCGACGGATTTGTTGTTTTTCAATTCGGGACTATTCTTCCACATCCATATTCTGCAGTCCTTCTTCCAGAAGTAAGCCAGGTCGTTGAGTGAGTACGTTCGACCGCCCTGCTGGAGGATTTCCGCTTTCACTACCACGATTTCGTTGGTGCTCTTATCCCGCGTTTCGATATTGTCTTTCAAGTCCAAATACGCGTTGGTTTTAGTTATCAGCTCTGTGTTGCGATCTATCACCTACTCAAATCATTTTTACGTTTTAGTATACATGAAGGCTAAACGGATAATCTTTTATTACGTGAACCGACAAAATAGTCCAACGACAAAACAATTTCGATAAAATTAAAAGCAAATATTGTTTATTAGATTTCCAGACTCCAAGATATTTTTTTCACATCCTGTTCTATTTTATGGTAAAATTTCATTTTATTTGATGCAATAATAAACTAGTTGCATTAATAATAGGAATACCATAGATTATACATTCGAACATTTTTCCAAAAATAATTAACTAACTCCCATATGTTAGTATCTATCAGACTGTAGATGGTTTTGTATACTTTCTTCATTGTCTTCTCTGATATTTCTTACTTTATTTTTTATAATTCAATATAAAATCCGTTTAATTTTAATCCTGGTGCCTGATAATATAACCACCGATTGTCCTAAAAATAGCTCGACAAATTCATGATTTGTGATCATTCTTGTACTGTGAAATGTTTTTCTCCTAAGCTAATTTGTTTTTGGGCTATTTTAACGGGATACCCTCTTATTATACCTATTGGGAGTTAAAGTACCCACCTCATTCTCGTCTGAACTGAGACTTTTCGTATCATCCATTCCTCCTGTGTACGATTTGGTGTCACGTAAATTTAAATGTCTGTTGAATAGGAGTCCTAGACTAGTCGTCGAGGCGGATCTTCGAAGAGGCGCCAATTTGGTTTTAAAATTTAACTTTTTTTGGGACATTGGTATTGACATTCTAACATCACATGCGACAGTTGCTTGGCTTTCATTAAAAATAGCTTTATCCGGGATTAGACAAGCACTATGCTCGTACTGTCAGGAGTCAGCAGTTGATATTTTCCCATTGATTTGTTCAAATGCGCGTACTCATAGCTGCTCTAGAACAGTACCAAATTTTATTTCACGGAGATATCATAGTTAACATCGGTATTAAACAATTAAAATTTCGGGTTTTATTAACTTGTTTCAAATTACATAGTTTTCTTCTTTTTTAAACTTTGTTTCGAGTTAAATCTTTACAAGTCATACTTAAAGTCTATAGGTGCATTCGACAAAACTCGTTATAAAAATAAGAAGTGTGTTTATAAAAATTAGAACTATCAACTTTCTACAATAAAATAAAATCTATAATAAATTAGTGGAATGTTTCGGCTAGAAAAGCCCAGCTCTCTTCTTCATCTCCTGCTGCTTCCATTTTGGCAACTTCTCAAAATCCTTGTAAACCATTTTAAACGTTGATACAAAATCATCGTGCGTGAGGTGCAACTAAAATATCAAAAATTATACACTTAAAAATCACAGGAAAATTCATCACTACTAACTTCCTTATTAAAAGCGTCGACTCTAGCCGGTAACTTCTCGTTAGGTTCCTTCAAAACGCTGAGAGGATATTTTTCGAACTGATCGAATTCGCTGTCCTCTGCGCCTTCTTGGTGCTGGGAAAATCCATTCGTGGATCCGTTAACGCCGTGTGAGCAGGTTTTCGTTTCGAATTCCAAACGAACCTTCGAAAACGTCTTGTACTGCTTCCAGAATTTCTTGTCCCAATGCGGGAAGAATCCCGTGAACGTCGGCGGTTCCTTTTCCTGCTGGATGTGAATGAGCGCTGTATCCATATCTCTATCAGCTGGATCTATAAAAATAACAGGATTCAGATAATATTTTTATGGTGGTTTTATAGGAGCTACCTGATTCTAAATATTCGATAGCTCTTTGAGCGCTTAATCGCTTCTCTTCTCTGGTGCACAAGCGCCCTATCCAAATGTAGACTGTGTCGTAGGCGTCGAGGAACATCACGTGCTCGGGCACCAGGTCTTTTTGGCTGAAGAATCTGATTTCATCGGCTGAAATTATTTTCCAAAATGTATAAGATATAATCGCTTATTTAAATAGCTACCTTTAAATTGCCCGTGTAAGGAATAACACCTGAAAAGCCTGGGAGGTTTCGGGTCGAATTCGTGCTTAACAATTTTCGTTGAGTACAACATTTTACCACCTAATAGGTTAAAAAAATCTTCTCTTTCTTTTCCTAAAAACAATTTCAATTAATTCACGCCAGTTTCTCTATACAATGGGTCGCAGAGGTACCTTCTAAAATGAGCTCGAAGTCCTTTCCAGCGAAATTTTTGGCCATCTCCCGCTGGTCCCCGGTGGAGTACGTCCCAGACCAAATGTAGTACTTTTTAGATCGCCTCAACACGAAGCAGTAATTCGAATCGAACGAAGACGCCTTCACGCTGACCTGCATCGCTTTGGAACTGTAAGTGGTCGAACCGAACACTTGCAGGAGATAGTGAGAGGGATTTTTCATGTTTTTACCGGTTTCTGCAAAGATAGTACGGTTAGTTTCATAAAGTATTTAGGGTGTTTGTTAGTACCGTCGTATTCGACGCCGCGTCCTTTGAAAACGGTGAATTTTCCTTTGAAGAGTTGCAGAAAGTGGGCAGTTTCCTTGCCTTGGATGAGCCGGGCTTGGAAACCAGTTTGGCCTAATTCCTCGTCGATTTCGACCAGTTTGGACGCGGTGATGGTTATTTCTTGTTGAGAAGCATTAGAACCCTAAATTGCAACGATAGTTATAATTAAACTTTTGCTTTTAAAATAAGAAGGAATTGCATCAAGGTATATGCACAAAAAGAAGTAAGGAAAGAGGTTTTGCTTCGAGGACGCTGCTGTTGCTTTAAAGCGAACAGTTTTAGGTTTTCCGTATTTATAAAAAGAAAAGGATTTGCTTATAAAAATGGAATCTAAGTTCATAGCAACTTTTCACAATCTTTTCAGTAGTTGTTGAGCTACCACACAGCTTGTAAGGTAAAATTTTTGTGTATTTTGGCTGTGTTTCCTTAGTTTGTTATGGCTGATTGGATGCATTTACGTTAGAACTGTCTAGAACCATTTAGAACGATCCAGAATCATCTAGAACTGTCTAAAATCATTTAGAACTATCTAGATCAATCCAGAACACTCCAGAATCGTTTGGAATTGTTTAGAACCATTTAAAACGCTCTAGAATCATTTAGATCAATCTAGAACGCTTTAGAATCGTTTAAAACTATTTAGATCAATCTAGAAGGAATTTCTATTAGAACTCACCAACCAAGAATACAACAAATGCCTTTGCTCGGTAACGGTGTGGTAAGTGTAAAAAATCACGTAACAATCCCCCGAGAAGAAGTACCCGTGTCGCTCCTGCGGGATCTCCACCAGCTCATTGGCGGCGTCCACCCTCCAGATCGTCATGCTTCCCGTGCCATCGTCGATGAGTTGGGTCTCTGCTGCTAAACCAGGTCGTTCCTCCATGGATAAGGCGTCGTATTTCGACACTAATATAGTAGGTTTGGGACCTGAAATCCGCCGATTCGAATTAAATATTCTTTTTTGTGATAATCAAGTTTATTTGTACCTTTGTGATCGGATTTCCAGTCTGCGAATAGCATCCTGAATTCCTGCGGTTCGTGCCCGTCGACTGCTCTGGTTACTTTGGTGTAAGAGGGGTATTTTTTCTTCTTTACGAAGCCCCTGGCGTTTCGTAAGGCTTCGCAGCGCTCTTTTTCGTTCACTTTTCTGCCCACCCATACCCATATTCCTTCGCATTCTTGATCCACAATGTAAACATCCTTGATGATAAAAATATTTAGGTACTCTTATGTAAGGTAATGTTATGAGGTGTTGTTTACCTCCTGATTTAAGTCCTGTTGACTAAAAGGACCCGTTTTCAGCTCGGTCACCCTGTATTTACCGTTTTTCTCTGAACATCTGTATAATTTAGTCGAGGATTTTTGGCGGTGGCCATTTAACCCGTTCTCCTGTTCATCGGGTAAAATGTTCCTCTTCTCTAGCGGTAAATAGTTGTTGAATTCCTTTTTTGAATCGTCGGACAAAGTTTTCTCGTAACCATCATCGACGAACGTTAAATTTGGGACCTTTTGCTTGTCTTTCATCTCTTTGGCAATCTGGGGATATGAAAATGTAAAAAATAGTTGGCTTTGAATGTCAAAATTGACAGGTGAAATTTTGCTGAAATGCGGAATTCTTAAAATATTGGAGTGAAATAGACTTTGAGAAGATACAATGTATCAAGTAGGTAGTAGCAATTAGTAAGAATATAATAAATTAATTATTATTGTAATAAAATTTTTGTTAGGCAGTTTTATTATCAGGTCGAAGAAGAATCATGATTAGCCTTGCACGTCAAAATTGATAGATGAAAATGCGCAGTTCGAATTTTCCTGTATTGAAGAACATGGAATGAAATGGACTTTAAGAAGGTACAATGTAGGTATGTACAGTAGTAAGAGTAATTAGTAAAAGTAATTAAGAATAGTAAATGGTTATCTTTTAGTATTTTTTATGCAGTTTTATTATCAGAATCGAAGAAATACGATTAGCCTTGGATGTCAAAATTGACAGATGCAACGTTAAAAATTTGATAAATCGTGTTAGAAAATAGTTTTTTCCAAAAATAAATCAAATGAGAGACGATTCATTACGTAACATGCAACAAATGAAAATTTAATCTATTCTCCTTAATTTACTTTTACCTAATCTTCTATAAAAAATATTTCAAACATCTATACTAGTTAGCCTTGGATGTCAAAATTGACAGGTATCAATGTAAAAAACACCTTTGTTAACAGTGAAATATTTGATATTAAAGAATTTTTATACTCACAGTGGCGGCGTGTAATTTTTCGACGGCATCCGAAGCCCTTCCCGACCACACGAAAATGGTCTTCATTGTTCTGACCAGAAACACGTCCGAACTGTTAAAGTATTCCCAAGTAATTTTCGGCATTTCTTTAACAATAGGCGTTTGTTTGCCTCTTACTCTATACAATTTCACGGTTTGACAATTGTTTATTAACTCCGGTTTGAGAATTCTAAAAAAATGGTCAAGAAATTGACTTTAATGCGAAATAAATCGGTACTTCTGTATTTAATGTACAAGCCGACTCGAATTGAATTTAATTAGTCAATATAAATATAACAGTATCTACTGTTTATTCTAGTGACTTTTAATTTAATATAGCGTCTATCAAGTTGGTATCATTGACAAAGGCTACATAAAGTTGACATATTGTTTGACCCAATCTAGCCTTCTTAGTTTTTTTCTTTTTTTAGCTAAATGGTGTACTTTCTACCTATATACGTACTTTATTCCGTTTTTGAAGTAGCTCAAGAACCTGGCGCTTTCGAATCCTTCAGTTTCCCTGTGCTGGGTGGTGTGCCCGTTCAGGAAATTATCCAATTCCATGGTTTTGTAGGCCGCTACGCCGGATTTATCCGGGTTGACCTCGGAGCCTAGCCAAAAGTGTACGTGGTACTCTATGGTATTTTTTGTTTCCTTCGACTGGAATTAAGTGGAATTTACTGGGAAGTAAAGGGTACAATTTAAATAGCTTACGACTGAGTCTGTGCTGCATGGTTGCCCGGAAACTGAGGCTGCGAATATTACATAGGCATCTGTGGTGTAAAATGTGCCATATTGGTCTTTGGGTATTGCCGTTACAGTCATGTTCTGAGAGAAAGAATAAATAAGTAGGTAGATAAAATTGTGATAAAGAATGGGAGAATGGGGAATGAGAATAGGGAATGAGAATGGTAAATAAGAAATTACCTCGATTTTCCATATTAAAAAATTCGTATAATTTCTGTTCAGTTTTCGAAAAGCGTGGTCGATTACACTCGGATCATAATTCTTCGATGAATCATCCTGAAAATGGAAAAAACCCTTCATTTAAATCATAATTTATTCTGTCCATTAGGTATTCGAAATTCCCAGTGGTTTCCTTAAGAATTAATAATTTTAACAACGGAATTCTCGGTTTCATATGATTTGAATTATTCTAAAAATGGAAAATCGCGGCGTTACGTTTAAACCCGTAAACGTAATAAAACGCGGAAACCGGTTCGTTGCACCCAAATGTGCAATTATAAGGTTAACGGAAACAAAATAATTGGCCTACGGCGCTTCTCACCTGGTTATGGTATGTTTACAATGAGTTGAAGAAGAAGTGAAGAATACCTATTGCAAAAATCATTTGCATTCACGACAAATATTTAATATGCTAATTGGACGCAAAGCTCGACGCAATTAGGTGAGTAGGCTTTTATCTACTTTTGTTTAAAAAAAATTACGTTGTAGAGGAAAATTAGAAGAAAATTATAATATTTTCTAAAAGCACTAATTAGGTATCAAATATGTTTATGTGCAAGTAATAAATTTACCCAATAAATACAGTAAATTTATATTTCAGCAACTGTCACAGCGGCAATTTTCTCTAATTGCGCACCGTCAGGCACTTATCGCTGTAATCGGTAGGTAATCGCGGTAATTTTCTTAATTATAATTACTTAAAACTTTTAATTGGCGGATCATGCGAGTAACGCCATCCGGAGTATCCGAACTCTGCCACAAAATGCAGGTAGTCATTACGGGTTGTTCGAACTCTGCCAGGTTTTAAAATTTTAGGGATTAAGTACTAAACCCGTAGGGGTCTAATTGTTTAATCCGATTTAACAATTTCATAATATATTTTTAACGTATATTTGTCACAAAAAATACATGTACCTTATAATAAAATAAATACGTATATACACATAAAAATAAAATAAAAAATAAAATTACGAAAAAATCTGAGGAAGATTTTTACATACCACCGTTTTCACAAATATAAAACGAGAAATAGTATTTTTCTTATATTTTTCCGTATGATTATTAATTAATTTATTTTTTGTATCAAACACACTAGTAAATTGGACAATATTTGGGTGTGCTTTATAAAAAGAGTTAAAATGGGAATAAAAACTCTCACAAGAATTAGTTGTCCCCTTAAAAAAGTCTGCATTGTTTGCCCAAAGATGTGGCGGAAATATCGAATTTGGCTTTATATACGTTTTATTGACATAATTGCGAAATTATATAACTCTTTCATCGTTTGGAAGCAAAAAATATAGTTCGTTATTAAAAAATTAAACAACTTACTCAGAACTAAGATACATCATTCCGAAATCTACTTAAATGTAGTCGCCAATTACACAATCTTTCTGTATGTACTCTTGTACCAAATGAAACTCCTGAATCTTTCGAAACCAAGCTTGACCAAGCTTGACAGAGATAAAATTTACAACCAAAAATAATTTGATCTCTACCAAAATATTCATATATAGCGTTATGAATGCTTAGTTCAAAATCTACTACGACTTCTTTGGTTTGAAATTTTAAGTTTTATTTAGGTAATATTATAATAAACCCTAATGACCCTAATAGGATTAAACTTAATGGTCGTGGCAGAGTTCGAACCATTCAGTAATCCCCAAATTGATACAATTCAGGTAATATTTTATTTTGTGGCAGAGTTCGGATATGCCCACGCCATCCTGTTTACCTGCTCAAATTAAAATTTACTGTTACGAATAAGAATCAACGTTAATTAGTTTAACTTGAATTTTAGGTTAGTAATTAAAAGTTCAAATTACCGGGTAAGTATATCATTAACTTACCATTAACAGTTAATAAAATAAGAGTAATATATGCTATACCCAAACTCTACCTAATAATTAAATATAAGTACGTAAATGCTAAAATTCATTTTTTTATCAAACTTTCTCTTATTTGAAGATCAGGTATATTTCCCCTCTGTATTTCTAATAAAAAACGTGATGTAAAAGCGTAATGTAATTACAGTTCTCATGTACACGAAACAACCCAAAAAAATACTAGAAGATGTTTAACTGCATTCGTTGTTCCACTTGAGTAACAGTTAAATGGGAAAAAAATTGTTACGACCATTTACTCACACCGAACTCAGGGAAAACTTACACAATTGTAGTTTGAAATAAAAAACTACCGCAACTTCCTCAAGTTATTATTACCAGTAGGTAAAATGTGGTTTTTTATACCTACAGAAGTTCCTACAGAAGTAGGTATTAACTGTAAGAATGATCATAAAATTAAATATGAATTATGAATTATAAAATTGTTGCTATTTTGAGATTTGTTGTTGTATCTGAGGAAATTTTAATAAAAACTGTTGGTGACAAATGTGTAGTTACCTATAAGAGGAAATTTTGCCAAGAATACCAAAATGCATCAAAGTGCTATGAAAATGAATCAATTCGTACCTACTATAAATTCGTCCTATAAATTCACCTGAAATTTCTATTAAAATTATAAAAATTATAAGGCCTGTTTATAAATTAGAAATGTTTATATTTTTTTGAAGTATTTCTTTTATGATTTTTTGAATAGATCCAAAATATCAATATTTTATCAGCATAAAATCAATAGATATAATGAACTATTGGAAAAATTAAAAATTTAGTAATTAAATATGCTGTTACTAATACGAATCAGCCAGAAAAATTAAAGAAAATTGTAGAAATTTTCATTAGAAATATTAACTAATTATACACCTCTACATTGTATAGAATATTTTTGAATAATATAACCCACAAACACTGGCAAAAAAACTAATAAAAAAATTGCTCTTGGGGTCTCAATGACTCTCCCTGAATTAAAACCAAAATATTATAACACAAAAAAATAAAATATTTACGTAATCCTCCAGCTGCAACTCAAACACCTGCATATCCACCACAAACAACGAACCAAAAAAAAAACTAAAAAAAATCGAATTTTACTCCCGACAAAAGGTACCTACACCCGAACCGGCCACTTCCTAGTGCGAACTCGAGCGCTGCGAAAGAGAAAAGTCAGTGAACTGAGCTCGCTGGCGGATGAATGGCTCCGTCTTCGCGCGAGGAAGCAGATCTCGGACAGAAGCCGGCGATTCATTCCTTGGGGGGCGGGTTGAAAGAGCACGGCCCCCCCGGTTGCACTAGGTCACCGCCGAGCAGAATGGCACTTCGACGAGCCCTGCGGCGAAGTCGCATACCTCCGTGTACTTTTTATTGTTTTGCATGCTCTAATTATTCGGAGTCGCTTCGAGTTTTTCGTGGTTCTTTTGCATACCTGTGCGATTTTTAGATTGTTGTTATTCATGTTATGCAAATGTAACTAGAGAAGTGTAGGGCAAGAGGTATAAATAGATGTAAAAGATGGAAGTAGAAATAGAGCCAATTTTGCAAGGACTTCCTTTTGGGGCTTTTATATTATCAACAAATTTATTTGAGAATTTTTCATAAATTTTCATAATTTCATATGGTTTTAGTTCAGGGTTTTTTTAAGCATAGGAAGATTGATGGTAATTGATTTTCGAAAGATTTTCAAGTATTTAAACGAGTTTATCCGATTTTATAAGGTTTTTTATAACTTGATTTTATAACTCGACTTAACATTTTATGGGATTTTTATTTATTTTTTATTTACTGTGAATTTTAATGAATTTTTATCCTCTGAAATTAAATTATTGCTTATAATAATAGTGACAAAAAATTAACACAATCACATTAAGGTATTATCATTAAATCTTTTCCCATTAATTATCTCTACATCACAGTGCAATATCCTTTTGTTTGCTGTATTAAAGACGGTAATTAAAGAGGTTTTTTACAACCCAGAAGCATTTAAGTAAAGTACTTGATTCTCGATACAAAAAAACCAACAATAGTCTAAATGACACAGACAATAACTCCTCTTTATTCTTCTACCATGCGGTTTTCACAAGGAGCGATTGTTGTAGTTCATTGTTTAAACGCGCTATTAGCACATGAAGATTAGATAGATACCCATTCGGAGTTTAGAAATTCGCTTTTTCCGGCAATTTTACGTCGTTTTGCCTACGGTAACGTTCGCAGAAACTGTTGCGCACCAAGAACGTGCTATTAAATCATTAATGTGTCGTTGTTTGTTTTCGATTCGCTGTAAATGTCGATCAAATGTGGGTTATGGGACAGAGGAAAAGAGGTCGCAAATTTTCCATGTAAAATAGTGTTTTATTTTTTTAAGGAATTATCTTTGGAAACTCATTTAAAAACAGGATTAATCACGAACTGAATCTCTATACTATGCAATATGAAAAATCGTCAGACTATAGGAAAATTATAATGTTTTCTAAATAATTTCTGATACTTATTCTGCAGTCAGGGCACATTTGCAATTTTATGTAGGCATTTCATGGGAATTTACGAGTAGTAGATACTGGATAGTTATAGAAATAATATAGAAAATTTCTAGATAAAACTGTAAACAGACTGTTCAGAAATACCATACGTACGAATCCGTTAACAATCCATGAACTGTAAAGAACGTTTCGGTTTTTACTATATCGGAATTCATTACGACTCTATCGCATGTCGGTTCGTGTATACTTTTCCTATCGTTAATTTAGATAAAGATATTAAATATAACAAGGGACCCATCGTAGCGAAACGGTAAATTAGTTTAATTAATGCGAAAGGCACGTAAAAATATGTATGTTAATGCAGGACTATTTGTTCAACACTCGGTAAAGTTTTATTTATCGAGATAAAGAGATAATTGCAGGTGTATAGCGTAGGTTTGCATGCTAGTTTATGGTTTATGATGAATAAATAAATTGTTTTTGATTACAAATTTGGAATGCATACAGGGTGATTCTATTATATTATGTAGATAAATTTAAAAACAAGTTTTACTGGCGATTTTATGAAGAGGCATAAAGGAAGCTTTAAATTTATATAAATAAGGATCCTTTAATAGATGTAATTGATTTCGTATAATCAACTTAAAGAATTAAGTTAACTCCTTATTCCTAATATTAAATTAATTAGGGATAAGGTTAAAGGTTAAATGACACTTTATCTTAAAGCTTCCTTTTGTTAAAGGATACTTTAACTTTAACGCTTTATTATTATGAAATCGACCCTTACCTACACTTTTTAATTACCAAAAATATTCAACTCGAACTGAAATAAACAACTATCTCTAATAAAAATCTCATTTTATATTAATTTTCTCTTCTAAATAAAAAATTGCATATAGTGCATGCGAAGAATTCATTTCATGACGTCACTACCTTATTAACTTTTCAGGTGCTTCTTATCTACTTAGAATATAAATATCACAATATTCACACTAAAACCTTCGAATTAAATTAGTAAAACTATCAACTTACGGCGATCAGAGAGCGTGTCTCCTTCATGTTTCCAAGACACTTTCACGAAATCCGCCGGTTTTTCGAGCAACCCAATACAGTGTGGTGGCTTACGCGGGTACCGAACGGTGCGCCTTCCGCCCTCGATGGAAAAAGGATTTAATTACGGAAACAAATATTGATGGCGGTCGCCCGAAGAGCTTTCGAAATCGCCCATGAAACGGTCGATGTTGGTTTCCCACGCACCGGAGGAAGTACGCCCGATGATTTTTTATTTAAAATTTTTATGTGCGCGTTTCGAAACATCAGTTAAAGGGATGCGTCCTGCGGAGATGACCTCTTCGATCAACCAACTGATTTAAATGCTGAATGTTATTAAAATAAATTTTTGAATTACAATACAAAATAAATACCAAAAATCTCTCATCATCTCAATTCCACAACTCCCACCCAAAATGAGAGTAAAGTAATAATTGTAATAATTCCAATTTACCGACTAATCAATGTGCATAGCTATTTGAGACATACTGTATATTGCGCGTGAGTCGCGACCGCCTTCATCGATCCATTTCCATTAAAGTTACAACGTATTCGAAGTCCCTTTCATTTTCCGACTGGAATTTCCTTATCGCGGCGAGGAAGTGATCCGTTTCTATTTAAAATTTTTAGTTATATATAGAAAGCTAATCAGTTACTAATTAATCTCGGCGTAATAAGGAGCTTTGTTGGAAGAGAAAATGGAGAAGCAGCTGCAAACTGTTGCTGGCATGGCGTGCATGAAGAGCTTCCTGATGGTTTTCAATGTGGTTTTCTGGGTAAGTACTGATGCTTTTTATCTCCGAAATTTAGTTGATTTTGTGTTTATTTTGTAGTTTTCCGGTATTATAATCTTGGGTATCGGCATATGGATGGAAGTTGAATTGTACAAATATATGGAAATGAGTACTGCTTTTACCAGTACTGCTCCGTACGTACTCATTGCTACTGGTTCGCTGATAATACTGGTGGGATCCTTCGCTTGTTGCTGCACTGTTAAAGGCCAACCATCGCTTCTTTACATGGTAATATTTTTAGCATATAAAAAGATAAAAATCGCAGATAACAATTTGCATAAATTTTTAAAGGCTATTGCAATTTTTGGTTAAGTTTTTATGGATTAAAAATGTTTTTGAGGATAAAAAAAACTTAAAAAAAATCTAATATTCCCTAAAAAATCTTTAAAACTAAAACAATTCCCAATGAATCTCCTTAAACAAATCCAACAAGAACTAAAAGTACAACAACAAGAACAACTCGTATCCACTCTAGAAACAAAATTAATAACCCGTTCAATCCTCGAACTGAAATTTTCCGGTCCGATAAATCCCCGAATCTCAAGAGTTCGATAGAAATGTTCGATAAACATCTCCTCTCTGCGAATCAAAGTCCGATCTCCGCCAATGAAAAGAACCATTGAGAACGCTCTTTCCGTATGGGTGGCTAGAAATAATGACAAATTGTTCCTCGGTAAGTACCTCCGAGGTAACGCGTCGGATTCGAATTGCATTCTCCTTCCTCCAAAGAACGAGGAAGCATCCGAACAAAGTTCATTGTTCTATTCTCTAACGCTGAACTACAGAATGCGAATGTCGCAAGAGTAAACAGGATGGACTTTTGCGAGAGGAAAACACGCTTAATGAGGTACTATTGGTACTAGGTACACGCAGGAAGCGCGCGTTTGACCTCGCTCTTTCGAAAAACACACAAGGTTGATGGAAAATGTTTATTAATATTTTCAGTACGCGTCGTTTTTGGCCTTGGTGTTCTTGCTGGAACTGGGAGCCGGCATTTCGATTTTCGCCTATCGCACTAAATTGACCGATGGTTTCGACAATGGGATCACGCAAGCGATGATAAATTACCGAAACGACAGCGCTCACTTGGCCGAGGATTTCGATTTAATGCAAGAAACGGTAAGAGCTATTAACTTTCTTGTTTTCTAGCCAATATTTTCGACTAATTGGACTGTTTTTTTATTAACCTAGCAAATTGGTGTTTTACAGACCGACAAGAATATCAGCAGACGTGACCATCACGTCTACAGTTATTTCTATTGCACTGTACCTATTATCGAGTAAATTATTTTAAATTCCAGTTGCAATGCTGTGGAAACCACAACCCTAGGGACTGGTTAGACTTGAAGCCTCCTCAACCCATACCGTCTTCTTGCTGCATTGAAGAAAAGTGCAACACTGATCGAGATGATGAAATTTACAGTCAAGTGCGTATTTTACTTTATTTCAATAATTTTTTTATCGCGAATAATACTCCAGAAAAAAGAGAAGTGAAAGCTTGCAATAGGTCGCGGGTACGACCTAGTAAAGAACTAAAGTTTTCAACATAAAAAATACTAATTCTGCTGAAAAATGTATACGATTCGTGAGTAAAATATTGATGTTTTTCAATTTTTGGATTTTTTGCTCTAAAGAGTGGCACTTAATATGTGATAATAGTGCTGATAAACAACGTATGCAATAAATCAGAATTACCCGATGAATTATGAAGAATATTTCCATGAGCATATTTTTCAGGGTTGTTACACGAAGATAGTCGATTTCCTGGACGCCAACGTAGGATTAGTAGCAGGAGCAGCTGTTGGGATAGCATTTTTCCCGCTCGTGGGCCTATTTCTGTCCTGCTGCTTGGCCAGGGTGGCGAATAAAGCCAAATACGAGCAAATGGCCTGAACTGTCCGACATTAAAATATTTATCCGATTAGGTAATTTAGTACTGTAACTGGCGAACCATATCTGAAGGAGACCGATTCTTCGGTTGGTTCTGCGAAATCAAAATTTTTAAAATTCATATTTATTACTTATTATCTGTCTGTCTGTATACTGTGTAATTAATAGACATATCGCATGCATGGTACTTTCTATTTTAGACTAATTGTCGATTTATTATCCGATCTAAAGGCCTGAAGCGCTTCGCTTGTTGTATCTGTAATTTAATCGATGCGTGTATTTTGAAAGAAAAACTGTACTTATGTGATTTTTTTCGGTGATATACCAGGTGAGTTACAACGAAAAATTTCATCGCTTTTTGACCTTCTTGGCTCCTCTTCAAGAATGTTATACGTATTTACCTTTGTCGTCTAGTTATTCAAGTTAATCCATTCTATGTGGTTCTTTAAACAATTCTAACGATTAGAGTAGGTTATTAATGTTATCGGGAATAACAATTTTCTATAATTAAAACCCAGTATACTATATTTATCTTTCAAAATATTTTCTTATGCTCTTGTGGGGATTTTCCTCGATAAATACTAAAATATTTACCCAGCTTTTGAATAGCTACTAGCAATTATTTGGTCAATTCAATTCTTTTGAGTAGTGAAGTTTTATCAAATGCTCACAAATATTTTCGCTGTCTATTAAAGGATATATTCTAAAGAAATCGAGAAAAATCAGTATTAGTAACATATAAATTATAACCCCCGTGTTGTTTATAGTAATTTGGAATATTTTATTGGTGCTAAATGGATGTGATTTTTTTAGTGAAAAAAGGAAGCATCATTAGGTTGTGATATAGGGAACTTCAAAATATACATTCAATTAAACTTGTGGTCTAAATTATAAAACATATCAAACCGTACGCCTACAACCTAATTGAACTTTGTTCTCGTCCTTATTCTCCTGCCTTTAGTAAGGTGGTGAGGCCAAAAAAGTCCACATCTATACAGAGTGTCCAAAACATAGATCAATTCGGAAGCGTATAGATGACATCAAAATAACGGCATAACTTCATATACATTTTGTTCATTTGAGCCCTCTACCTCTTTTCTCAATCTAAAAATTGAAATTTCTCTTAAACCGTTAACATAAACGACTTCAAACAAGTTTATCGATTAAAAAATGTATTTACGATAGGTTTGCGTTGGTACAGATTGTCACCACAAAGGTTACGAATTGTTAATCACTAGGGACATGTCGCCAAAGTTATCAGAGAGTAGTGGAGGATTCATTTTAACACTAAATTGCCCTCCCGAATTACACGTGTTTGACATCTATTTTCTAGACACTCTGTATTAGGTTGTAGGCTCTTTTTACCAGAATTTACAGTAGAAGAGCATATTTACTAAAGATACATAAATTAAATATGAACAGAACTATTCGGATCTTGTTGAATACCATTAATTATATTTATAATAAAGACTCAATGTATTTTTTAAATCGATGTATTTAACTAATGTAACGTTTTTGAATATACATTATACTCATTTGATTGGACTTTCCTTCCAAACCTTTTTATTTAGGTACAATGAAAAAATATCATTAAAAACATTAACAACACAATTAATAAGTTAGACTTTTTTCTTATTTCTATTCCTGTTTTTAACATTAGTAACTTCGTAAAAGTTGCTACCGATCTTCTTCCTCTTCTGCGCTCTTTCAATCGCCCTCTTCTGTTTGCTGGTCAACTTCTTAACAGCTCCTTCTTCCACATTCTTGCCTTGTTTAGTTTTCTTTTTCTTCTTCGACAAGTCCTCGACGTGGAACGTGCCGCTGGCTGTCTCAGTTTGCGTTTCCATATCGGAATAAAAGCTGATATCCGAATCGGTATCGGAATCATCTACAGTACTGTTAAGTTCAGATTTCTCGGAATCATCTACAGTACTGTTAAGTTCAGATTTCTCCTCAGTCTCATCGACTGTAGTATTGATTTCGGATTGATCGTCTGCGTATTCTGATACTGCTTTGTCCAAATTTTCAATAGGTTCGAGTTGCTTGACGTCTTCCCCTTCGTAGGTGAGCCCGACTTTGATTTTTCCGAAATCTTGAATAACGGAAACTTTATTTTCCACAGTGGATTCTTCTAATGGTTTCAAAGGCTGTTCGTAACCTGCTGGAATGCAGTAAAACGGTAATTTACCGCGTTGCCAGTCGTTGAGCACCATTTTCGCCACACTGGCTATGTCCGGCTCGCCTTTTTTGAGCAATTTGCCGGACCTATTGGCTAGTTTCTCCAAGAAGTCTGTGGGATCGTTCCAGGTGTCGATTTTGTATGTTTTTTTGATATATTCCGGTTTAACTCTATCCAATACGTGCTCAATGTAATCTTCTGGATTATTAACCAATTCTACTCTTACTACTCCTTTTAGAACTTTTTCGGTGTCCGTTTCTGCTGAGGGATACACCACTCCCGGACAATCAATCAGGTATATCCTTCTCATCAATGTAATGTATTGCCATACTTTCGTTTCTCCAGCAATAGGAGCTACTTTGCACACTTTTTTGCTCCGCAATGTGTTAATTATTGACGATTTTCCAGTATTCGGATAGCCTATAAATCCAACCGAAATCTGCTTCTTATCGATATGCAATTTAGCTGCAAAATAAAACTTTAATTAGTACATCGATTAATTACTGTTTAAACCAAAACTCACCTAATTGCCTAAGTAGATTAATTAGCGAGCCCTTTCCGAATGGGTGAGTAATACTCGCATGGAAGGCTACAGTTGGATACTCGGAACTCAATATTGCTACCCATCTTTGTGTAACCCACGTGGGAACTAAATCGACTTTATTTAAAATGAAAATGAGGTGTTTATGGGGCTTTTCGGTTTTTAAATATTTCTCTAGATAAGGCGATCTTGTACCCAATGGATCTCTAGCGTCCAAAACTTGCAGCAGCACGTCAGATGAATCGACTACTTTGTACAATTCATTCCAGATTCTCTTTGACTGTCCAGCGGCCATTACCCAATCTCTGGGTAAATCTCTAACTCCCTCGTCATCCCTTACGATATTAGAATCTTTTTCGTTGCTGTATTCATTCGCGGATTTCTCCGCTAATTCGCTTAATTCTTCTATGCCTTTGGCCATGATATTGGGACGCTTTCTCTTCTTTTTAGGACCAAAGACGCTATCGAAACTTTCGGTATCCAGTAAATGAACTCTAGCGTTTTTTGCTTTTTCGTTTAGTAAAGTTATGGGCAGAGTTGTAGGTTTCATTACGACCTGGTAAGGATTTTTTAGCGCTTTTCCTAGTTCGGTTTGGAATTTTTGCAAGGTGTTTTGCGATATAACTCTGCTGTTTCCGAACCATTTCTGATTGGGCTCCACTCGTGCTACTGTACCCGACGGTACCCAACCCTTAAAGCACACGAATTATTAAAACATGCTTCGTATATTACGTATAAAAATTTGACTTACTTGGAATGGTGCAGGGGTTAAAATTTTACCGGACTTGTCTCTTTTGGCTTTGAAGTTTCTGTACATCTGCAACCTTTTAATCGTCCCTTTCGTACGGACCTTAGAAACCCCTTTTAACCCTTCGGTGGGCCTTTCGGGGTTCATCGAATGGTTCGATTTGTTGAACCCCTGCTTACGAGGGGCTCCTGTCGCTGACCTTACTTTCGGCATCTTGTTTTATTCGTAATTAAACGCTCTTCTAATGATTATGGTTTAATTTAAACTCGTAAAGTTAATACCAGAATAAATTGTGATCAATTCTGATGTTTCATAACCTCAAACAGCCACGTTTATTTTGACGTAACCTGTCAATTACCGTTGACAGTTCTTGTTCACAGTTTCGACGCAAAAATACGCCTAAATAATAAAATTCTAGTAACAAACTGTGGTTTTTGACGTATGTTGGCAGCATTGACGGAATGATGTTATCGTTCTTTTTTGTGAAGGCGCCATGGCCGCCGATCAGGAGCAATTTTATCAAATCTTGACGACACTTTTGTCCACGGATAATACTACTAGAACGCAAGCCGAGGTGAGTTAATTTAATTTTCGACGGTATTCCGACAATTTGCGGATAAAACTTGCGTAAAGCAGGTGGTACATCGCGAATAAATTGGCACGGAATATTGCGATTCACAACGTGTACCGCAACTCGAAGCATGCTCTCGTCCAGCTCCCGGATTGTCAGCAATTCGCATTGCGGTCACTTCGTGGCTATACAATCACACACATTTTAAGTTATATATCAAGATTTACTGTATTTTACAATAATTTTATACATTAATACACCCATCATGTGTCTATAAAAAGAGCGCCAAGAGTTAGCACCAACCCCACATTTACAGTGATGGATAACAAGTCATTACCATCCTAATTATATGTAATGAAAATAAATTACATTTTAATATTTCTGATAATATTAACTCGTATATTTTTTTAACTAGGAGGTGTATTTGAATCTACCGATCGAAACTAAAGTCAGTCACTTATTGGGGGCTATACTGAACGCGACTTTGAATCATGAGGCCAGGCAGATGTCCGCAGTTCTCCTACGGAGGGCGTTCTCCAGCGATTTCATGGACTTCTACCCGAAGCTGCCGCCGGAGAGTCAAGCCCAGTTGAAAGAGCAAGTGTTGCTGGCCGTCCAACAGGTCGAGACCGAGCAGTTGAGGCACAAGGTGTGCGAAGTGGTGGCCGAAGTCGCCAGGAGTTTGATCGACGATGACGGCAACAACCAGTGGCCGGAATTTTTGCAGGTAAATGTTTTGCCCAGTCGAGTAAATAATGGAGTCTCTCAAGGAATTTGGTTAATTTAAAGTATTTATGATTAATAGCTTTGTTGCATTCTTTATGCGATGAACACAGACGACTGTGACCTCAAATGTCAATATTTCATTATAAATATCAAATTGTGTTGATAACGTTTAATTAATGAGCAATATTTGAAATTTAATTATGATATATCAAGTCATGACAGTCATGAATTCGCTCCTTCTGGAAGTCCAGAAATCCATTGAAATATTTTAATTACTAATGTGGTATTGAAAAATATACGTACATTCTATTAAAATTTCCAAATATTAAACTTGAAATTATCAAATTGATAATATATGAAACATGTGGTTTATAAATAAATCTGTTCTTGAGAATTTTTCTATTAATACATGCAATATTTATTTTATAATTGTAATTTGAGTCATTTGTGCTATGTACTTCACACATGATTATTGAAAGGCTGCCAATAATGTTCTGATTATTTTAAATGATTGAATTTGTCAAATAATGATAAGATTACTATTTTAAAGAATTATCAGAAATGTGACTCATGTTACTTCTAAGAAGTAATTGTCATTTACCTTTATTATTGTAACATGAATATGTGCCTATGATGTTTTTTTAGTATTTGCTACTCTTGAGTTTCTATGATGTAATCTAATATCTGAGGCATTTTATTTTTCAAGTTAATGCAAAATTAAATTAGTAAAAGAAATCGATTACGTATATTGCAAATTGTCCTGTTTCATTTCAGTTTCTATTCCATTGCGCCAACGATCAGAATCCAATCCTCAAAGAAGCGGCGTTACAAATGTTCACCAGCGCCCCCGGCGTCTTCGGCAATCAACAAAACAACTATTTGGATCTGATCAAGCAGATGCTCTTGCAAAGCCTCCAGCCCACAGAAGTTTACGAAGTACATTAAGAAATTAGTCGCGAAATAACACGTACTCATATGGCCTTTATTATAGGTCCGTTTTCAAGCCGTGCGATCCGTGGGAGCTTTTTTGCTAATCAACGACAAGGAAACGCAAATTCTAAAGCACTTTAACGACCTGTTGACGCCCATGTTGCACGTAATGGCCGAGAGCATTCAACAGCAAAAAGACGACACTCTGCTGAAAGTTCTCATCGATTTGGCCGAGAACGTTCCGAAATATTTGAGACCGCAATTGGTACCGATCTACGAAATGTGCATGAAAGTCTTCGCCGATAACGGCGCCTTGGACAGTTGGAGACAACTGGCCCTTGAGGTAATTTTTTGTGCATTAAAAAAAAGGTGTTTTATTAGAATATACGCTATGATGTTTCTTTAGTATTTGCTACTCTTGAAGAGCCGTGATGTAAACTAATATCTGAGGATATAACATGAAGAAAATGACTTTGTTTCGAAGGTTTTTTGATGTGTATTAACGGTTTGTTTCGTTAAAGGTGATGGTAACTCTGGCTGAAATGGCGCCGGCCATGGTACGCAAAAATGCCGCCAAATACATGGAACAATTAGTTCCGCTTATTCTTCAATTCATGGCCGATGTTGAAGACGAAGACGATTGGGCCCAGTCCGATGAACTCCTAGATGAAGATACCGATTCCAACAGAGTTGTAGCCGAAGCAGCTTTGGATCGTTTAGCTTGCGGATTAGGTAAATTGTTATTCTATTTATCTATTATAATACACTTATTTCTAATGATTAAAAAAATGGATCCAATTCCTGAACGTATGTGATTACATTACATTGATGATGTTATAAAATTCACTACAAATCGTAGTTCGAACAAAGCTTCGAGGGTATTTAATAATGTGTTTTTCAGGCGGCAAAATCATTCTGCCTCTCGTAACGCAAAACATACCCGCCATGTTGGCCAGTCCGGATTGGAAACAACGACATGCAGCTCTAATGGCTTTGAGCGCAATCGGCGAAGGTACGTGTACTCCACGCTCATTCCGCTCGATTCCTAATCGTAGCTTTTGCCAGGTTGTCACAAGCAAATGGAAGGAATGCTGCCGCAGATTATGAACGGCGTACCGGGCGTCATGAACGGTATCCTTCGTTACCTGCAGGATCCCCATCCGAGAGTGAGATACGCGGCCTGTAACGCAGTAGGTCAAATGTCCACCGATTTCGCGCCTACGTTCGAAAAGAAGTTCCACGCCAGCGTCGTGCCGAGTTTACTCATGCTGCTCGACGATAATAACAATCCCAGGGTGCAAGCTCATGCAGGTAAATTGATTTTATTGTGTGTTTATTAATTTAGCGGCGCTGTATAATTTGTCTATGATGTTTTTTTAAGTATTTGCTACTCTTGAGTACCGTGATGTTAACTACAAACTGAGCCAATTTGGTTTATTTAATACAACTCACAATTGTATCGTGTAGAAAGTGCGGTGAGGATAAAATTTTGGAAATTTTAGGAGCCGCTTTGGTGAACTTCGCCGAAGATTGCCCTAAGCACATTCTCAACGGTTACTTGGAACCTCTGATGAGCAAATTAGAAGGGATTTTAACGGCTAAATTCAAAGAATTGGTGGAGAAGGGCACGAAGCTCGTACTGGAACAGGTCGTTACAACGATCGCTAGCGTAGCCGATACCGCCGAACGAGAATTTATAAGCTACTACGATCGCTTGATGCCTTGCTTAAAATACATCATTCAAAACGCCAACAAAGAGGAGTTGAAACTCTTGAGAGGTTAGTGTAATATAAAACGAACACATTTTGTTGTAAACTAATATTTTTCGCTTTTGCTGCAGGTAAGGCAATCGAATGCGTCACTTTAATCGGCATGGCTGTTGGATCTGAAAAGTTCAGTGCCGACGCAACTGAGGTTATGGATATGCTGTTGAAAACTCACGATGGCGCTGAATTACCCGACGACGATCCACAAACTAGTTATCTCATTTCGGCTTGGTCCAGAATTTGTAAAGTAAGTTGACAATAATCGCCTACCATCAATATTTCAGTATGTCGAAATGATTATAAAAATGGATCCAATTCATGATTGCCTGATTACAATTAACGTAATGAACCAATCTACAATTTTACGAGTGTAAAATAACGAAGTATCCTTCATTAATTAGTGTTTTTATAATAGGTACTCGGTAAAAACTTCGAGCAATACCTACCATTGGTGATGGGACCAGTGATGAGAACAGCAGCTATGAAACCGGACGTAGCTCTACTAGACAACGACGATATGCAAGGAGTCGAAGGCGACGAGGATTGGCAATTCGTCTCCTTGGGAGAACAGAAGAACTTCGGAATTCGCACAGCAGGTATTACCTATCGCTAATATTCAAAATCGACATTCTAATAAATCGCATTCTAACAGGTCTCGAAGATAAAGCCGCCGCTTGCAGTATGCTGGTGTGTTACGCTCGCGAATTGAAAGAGAGCTTCTTGAATTACGCCGAGGAGGTCGTCAAGCTGATGGTGCCGATGCTCAAGTTCTATTTCCACGACGGCGTCCGCAACGCCGCGGCGGAGTCGCTGCCTTGGCTGCTCGAGTGCGCCGTAGGCAAGGGGCCCGCCTACGTCGGGGACATGTGGAGATTTATTTGCCCGGAATTGTTGAAAGCTATCGATACCGAACCGGAAAATGAGGTGTTGATGGTGATGCTCGATTCATTAGGAAGGTATTGACATTTGTGAAAGTGTAAGTAGGAGTTTGTTTCACTGTGTTTTTTGTTGTAGATGTATTCAAAAATTAGGACCTAACTACATTGATCAAGAGTCCATGACTGAAATATTAAGGATAGTTGATAAGTTGATGAAGGATCATTTCGAAAGAGCCAATGACAGGCATAAGAAACATTTGGATGAAGATTATGATGAGGTAATGAAATTGTTGAATGTCTTAAGTTTTATAATGATCTATAGTGAATAGGAATAAGAAATGAAGATTATTTACTGAATAATTTAACATTTTAGGAAGTTCAAGAGCAACTCGAAGATGAAGAATCCGACGATATTTACGTCCTGAGTAAAATAACTGATGTCATTCATTCGTTGTTTTTGGTTTATAGAGAAAACTTTATACCGTTCTTTGATCAAATCTGTAGTCACTTTGTTAATCTTTTGTCACCTAACCGCGGTTGGGCCGACAGACAATGGGGCATATGCGTTTTTGATGACGTTATCGAATTCACGGGCCCCGCTTGTGCTAAGTATCAGGTATAATACAGCGAAAGACTAACATATCGAATTTGTATATTAAATTGTCCGTATTTTACAGGGCTATTTCCTTCAACCGTTAGCTTTATACATAAAAGACAAGAGCACAGAGGTCCGTCAGGCCTCGTGTTACGGCTGGGGCGTACTGGCCCAACATGGCGGCGAGCAGTTCGCCCGAGAATTGGCTAAGGCCGTGCCTTTATTGGCGGAGGTCATTAGCGATCCGGAGTCTAGGGATCCCAGAAATATAAACGCTACTGAAAACGCGATTTCGGCTGTTACTAAAATTATGAAATATCAGAGTTCTCAAATTAACTTAGACGAAATAATACCGCTTTGGTTCTCTTGGCTTCCTGTAATCGAAGATGTGGACGAGTCACCGTACATTTATGGTTACATGTGCGATTTAATTGAACAGAATAACCAACACATATTAGGTACGTTTGCACTTGTATGATATTATATTTGGTATTGATTGATTGATTTGTTTTAGGACTAAACAATTCAAATATCCCAAGGATAATCAGTATAATCGCAGAGGCGTTTTATCGAGAGGTAATAGAACCTTCGAAGCCTGAAGGTTTTAGAATGTTGAATATCGTTAGACAAGTTCAATCGAACGAAACGTTTTTCCAAAGCGTTGTGCAGTCGTTGTCGCCTGAGCTGCAGCAGGCCTTGCATGTGGCGCTTCATACAAGTATACCAGCCACGTCTTAGCTGAGAATAAAAATCTAAGTTATTGTATTTAAATTTCATTTGATCAATCAGCTGGTTCTTTAAATATTGTGGTTTTTTTCCGCCGCCAGAGATTTTAACGTAATTTAATCACTCATTTGGAAGTTGTTTGATTGTTTCCAATATTGTGTATTTAAGGAAAAAAATTGGCAAATTTTTAGAGCGAGCATTTAGAGTTGAAAATAAAAGTTATAGCTATAAAAATTATTTTTATATTCATCTGATGTTATATCTCATCATTGTTTTTTATTATGTAGCGATTTAAACAATTTTTTACTGGAATTTTGTGATCGACGAGAACCGTTTTATTTGTCAATTCCTTTGTCAACTGATACTGTACATAGAATTCAACAATTAATTTTGGACTATATGTGATACTTTTTTTTTCATTAAAATTATAAAGTATTTTTGTCTAAAACTTGTTCTTAGTGTAATTATTTAATCACTAATGAAGTTACATGAATTATCTCAATAAAAGCATTTCCCCGATACTTGTTTTATTTAAATTTAATGTTACAAACTCCTTAGTGATTAAACATTTCAGACCCACTAGATAAGCTAAATTAAAAGACATTGTTTATCAATTTCAGTCACAAAATTTTGAATAAGCACGTGTTGTTCTGTCAAGTGTCAAATTTTTGAGGTTAGCTTGCATTGATGTCATGACAAACGTTAATGATGAATTTTGTACGTCTACGTTTCTCTTGCACACTCTGTATAATCAAAATAATTTGATTGATTCAAAAAAACGGAATATCCGATTTGCCATTATGTTTTTTTTGATGTGAAAAGTGAGCGTTTGAGCCGAATTTTGTCGAGTTTGTGTTTTCCATAATTTAAAGGTGATTGCGTCTTAGAAATGTTTATAATTCATCACCAGAAGCTAATTTATTAAAATTGTGTTCAGGTAAGTCCTGTAACGCGACCTATTAATTCCTATTTTCAATCAATAAATTTATAAACAAATGTCATTTATTTTTGCCCCTTTGGTTGTTTTCTTAGTATCAAAATGGCTAATACCAACTGTTCGAAACGAAATATTACTAACATTTATAAAAATGAATTTCTCGACTATTTTTCATAATTTTTGATAGCAATATTGTCGAAAATTATTTTCAAGGTAATATATTAATTTGAATAACAATAAAATATAGTAATTTGCAATTATATAATTTGTTTCACAAAATGGCGGATGTGTCACACATTATTTTTCCCAATTTGTGTAGTAATTATAACGATTAGAAAAATAAAAATTTTCTACAAATATTAATAACAGGTTATTTTTTGCATTAGCACCGTTTTAACCATAAAAACTAAGCAATTTTAAATATTGGCGAAATGTTACATAAAATGGATGACCTCCGTGCGGTTTTTTCAGTGATTTTCATTCTCAAATTTTTGTTGGCAACACTGAATGTATTACGCCGAAAACGTTACTGCCATATTGGTTTCCGCATGTTGTTTTGATGTAAAATTCTGCCTTTATTAATATTCTAGTTGTTTAATTATTATTATCGTTAATAGTGAACGTGTTTATGCTTCGTTTTGTTCACACTTACCCATTTTATTACGAAGTATAAGGTAAGTTTTATTTTTTGTAATAGTCTGGTTATGATCTAACACAAAGTTTCTTCATATCACTGAGACCACCTTCAGACTTCCGTTTGGAATACAAATTTCACCTTTCTCATTCTCACACCTTTATTATTTAATATAATATTTGAAGGTTATCTGCCTACTGGAAGGATTCGAGCATATAAATTAAATGCAGTTTTAACAGATATTTTAAATATTTTTATTGGTAATGCCTAATGTATTTAAATTTTTTATTTATAAATTTTTCTGTCTACGCAGTACTCGCTGCTTAATATCAATCAACAATTTTTATTGACTGAAAATATGACAATATATATTTTTAATCAATTCGTTTTGAATAATTAATTTGTAAAATGGTAGTTAATTTTTAGGTAGTATTTAATTGGTTCTTTATGTACAATAAATAACTTACTAAATTATAAATTAGTATAGATTAGTTCTCTTTTTCGTTAGTAAAAAATTTTAATTTTAGTGCCTTTAACTCATTTTAACCAGATTATTCGAATTTATTTATTCAAGTAATTTATTAACCTTACTTAGAAACAAAATTTCACTATTTGCTAGACTTTTATTATATAATTTTTATTCATATCAATTACATTATACAATTAAATTATCATAAAAAAACGTTCGTGTCGTAATTGCTCAAATGCAAGATATGATGTTTATCAATCAGCTGTTTTGTAATGTTTGCATTGAATTTGACATGGAACATGACAAATAGAAACCGCGTTCGTTGCGCTCTATTTTTATTGACTTGGAACGCGAAGTTTCCTTATCGAATTTTTAGTCCCGAGCACTTCACCCAAACGGAGCCCGTGAGGAAGTAATGTCGCCGCCATTTTGTAAACGATAGCTTGTTATATTATTACAAATTCAATTTATTATTACTCGGTATTTCGCTCAAAAAAATGCTTAGTTTGTACCCAAAAAATGAGTCTTGTTAGCCGTTGCATTTGTGCGTGAATAAAGCTGTTAAAATCGATCCAGGTACGTCTTTTATTAGATATTTTTAACATGTGACGTTTACGACGGTAGTTGAAATGCCGGCTGGTTTCGGAACTTTACTGGTACATCATCAGGGTTGACAATTGTTTGGTTATGTATTTTGAAGGCAAGATTGTCGAATTTTGATTTTTTTTTCAGTAAAATCGGTCAATAAACGAACCTATAATCATTTTAATTAATTGGAGTCAGATTTGTTAAAGGATTTATTTAAGCTTTTTAAATTGCGTTACATAATTCGCGTACTTGGTGTTTTAAGATGTCAAATATTTTTCATACTAAATAAATTGGAATTTATTTTTTTATAATTTAATTAAAAGCTTTAATAGTTTAAACTATATACAGTGCTATTCAAAATATCTAATAATTTCGTATGATTAGATTTTTATTTGAGATGTAATATTAATTTTAATTAATTATGTAGCGTGGAAACTGGATAATGTCTTATGGTTGGGTCACCCTGTATAGAAAAATTGAATGTAGGCTAATTACAATCTGCATCACAAAATTGGATTAATTTAGGTTATCATAGTTCTTATAAATAAAACGAAATTTACAAAATTACTTAAAAAAGTCGCATTTATGTATCTATTAGCAAGATATTGAGGAAAAACCATATTTTTGCATATTAATTTGATATTTTAATTTTATAATCTATAGACTAACATTAGGTGCAATTTTTAAATAAATATATTTTTGTATATGGGTAAGTACAAATTTGTTTGCACCATGATCAATTCTACGAGGAGTTAAATAAAGAAAGATTATTAAAATAACAGTGGTTAGAGTGAGAAAGATGCAGTCCCACAATATCACTCTTTCTTTGTTCCATGAGGCTAATTGAAGTTTTCTTTGTTGTACTCATTGCCTATATCGCAAACAATTTTTCACCTACCTGTATGCATTTTTTATTATTGGTACTGAAAATAATATTCATATTTTTTCATCGCATTATTCAAAAGTTATTCTTCATTGGTATAAAATTAATACCTACATAAAATAAGTGTTTATTGGAATTTTTTCAAGACATTTTGTCTGTTCTGTAAGCGTAAGTGAAAACATTTTTTCAGAACAATGGATCCAGACGAAGCCTTGAAGCATCTAGCTGAAACTACGGGTTTGTCATATGTCGATTTGATACAGAGATTGCAGAAACTTACTTCATCTACTGTAAATCCAGGAAAAAGTGAGCAAAGCACTTCTTTGCTAGTTGAATGCGAATCTACTCAGTCCAATCAGGAAACCCAAGAGGAAAATGTCGCTAATAAAACGAAAGATGAATGTGATAGTGTTTATAAAGAAGTCGAGCAGTCTAGTGAGATTTCTACGAAAGGAAGTTGTTCAAATTCACCTAGCATTTGTAAAGTTATTGAAGATGACGCTAGAGAAGAGGCTTCTAATTCAAGAGTAAATGAATCTCAAGAACCCACAATAGTTAGCAATGGATCGAGCGATGGTAAAGTCATTGAAGATGAAGCTGAAGAAGATACTAAAGAAGAGGCTTCTAATTCAATAGTAAATGAATCACAAGAACCTACAATAGTTAGCAATGGATCTAGCGAAGGTAAAGTTATTGAAGATGAAGCTGAAGAAGATACTAAAGAAGAGGCTTCTAATTCAATAGTAAATGAATCACAAGAACCTACAGTAATTAACAATGGATCTAGCGATGGTAAAGTTATTGATGATGAAGCTGAAGTAGATACTAAAGAAGAGGCTTCTAATTCAATAGTAGATGAATCACGAGAACCTACAGTAATTAGCAATGGATCTAGCGATGGTAAAGTTATTGAAGATGAAGCTGGAGAAGATTCTATAGAAGATGTTTCTAATTCAACATTAGATGAATCACAAGCACATTTAGAAATAATTAATATATCAACTGAAAGTGAAGAGGTAGAGGATGTAGAAAATTTAGCAGAAATCACAAAAAGAAAAAGAAAATTTGAAGAAGTCGCCGAAAGCACAAAAGTAGAAAACAAACTTGACCCACACGTTGACTCGACATTTATTCAAATCAAATCTCCTCCGGATGTTAAAAAAAACGAATACATTTTTGAGAACAATATCTCATCTAAACAACCCCTTTCTTCTTCCAAAAATTTGAAAATAATTGAAAAACATATACTTGAGTTGGATCATACCAACCAATGGTTTGCTTCATCGCCGGCTTTAGAACCGAAAACTTCAACTCTAGCCGTTTCTAAAAATAATACAGTAACTTCTAATACAATTACGAATATTACTACCTCATTCCCAACATTAAATGATAATAAAAATGATGAAAGCGAGAACAATGCAGAAAACGAAAATGTAGCAAATGACGAGGTCGAATTGTTGAGTAAGTTAGATAAATCAATAATTGAGGGGAAACCTCGTTTTCGAACTAGTTGTACTTTGCCTATTTTAAAACCATTCGTTAACTCGCTTCGTGGAAAACACCACCATAATTCCAACCATAACACGGAAGTTTCCTCCGAATATAATTTAGATGACCCCGAACCAGAATTGAATGAAAAAAATAGCGTGAATATTCCAATAAGTAGGCAATTAAGCTCGGAAGTTAGCGATAACGAAGAAACCCATTCCATGGAAACTTTGGAAGACCTTAGAAATAATTTGAAATTACAATTAGATTCGTTAAGGATGCGAAAGAAAAACATTTTTCCCACCGCTTTGTCGACCAAAATAATTGACAATATCGAATGTAGCAAGAAATTATTTTTATTAGAAGCTAAAGATAGCACCGAAACCACATCTACCCCTAAAAATACAGATATAAATATTGTAGAAACTTCAAAAATTGCATCAGAGGAAGCTACAAATAACACAGAAACTTGTTTAAAAGATGAACAGGTTTACACCCAAACCGGTAATTTGGGTTTTATTATCGCAGAAGTCCAAGGTGGAGTGCAAATTGATGAGTCGCCCGAATCCCATGTAACTTCCAAAGAAAATAGGAATTCAACAGACGAAGTGGAGGACATCAGAGTATTCGATCAGATTAGAAACATCATCAACAAATCGAAGACAAAGTACACGGAAATTAGTCACAATTCCTACGCCAAAATCGACCCTGAAAGACAACTTAATAATCCAGAAGAAGGTAAAACAACCAATGAGTCCGTGTCTCTTGAATATTCGCAATATTCTTCAAGTGAAGCGACAGACGTGGATGAAAAATCCCCGTTTGTCAGCAATTCTTTGGATAAATTTTTGACGTCGTCTCAATTGAATATCAGTTACCAAGTACCTAAATTAGGAGCAGAGGAGAGTTTGCAGAAATCCAATGAATCCGATAGTAATTTCGAAAACGAAATACCTTCGCCTTTAGTCTTAAAAAAAGTAACTACTATAAGAAATCGACCGTTCGAAAAGCTAAAGAAAACTCCATTAATAAAGGCCAAAACGGTGGCGCAAAAGAGAAAGTTATTGGAAAGGGAGAGAAAGAGGGAATTAAAGGAATTAGAAAAAATGAAAATAAAAGAAGAACAGGAAAAAGAAGTTAATAAAATAGAAAATAAAGTAGAAATTAAAGAAGTTGTACGTCGAGATGGAAGTTACGTTCTTTTTAACGATTCGAAAATTTGGGTAAAAAGTTACAGCCATAATACATGCGTAGCCCGAATTAATTGTTCTAGAAAATCAAAAAATTCTTTGATGACTCCAAGAAGAAGAAAATTGTCGCTATTAAACCAAGGTCAAAAAAATCAATCTACAATTCGGTATCTTCCAGGGCCTTTATCTAAGAAACAACTTATTTTTAATGAGCAGTGGGAGACTTATTTACTGAAGTTGCCACAAATAATATTAGAAGTTCAACCAAAAATTGGAGAACGATTTAGCGATGATGTTCTACACAGATTTTCCTCTTTACTTGGAGGAGATCTGGATGAAAATACCATAGAATTTGCACTATCAATGGTACAAACAGAAGGTGATAACCAACAACAAGAAAAACAACAAGAACCATTCAAATTCCCACTTAAGTACAACAATAAAGCAGAAAACGTAATAGTTCGACGTAGAAAAACTGTAGTAAAAGTCGAAAAAGCACCCGAAATTAAACCGTCTACGAATCCAGTAGCCGATGTGATAGAAAATTTAATAAAATACGTGGAAATCAAAGAGCTCGCCCCTTCGTTGATAAAAGAAGACGACAGCCAGAAAAAAGTGGAACAAAAACTGGACAACTTACTCTCGCCCGTTATCGAGAACAACGTAAGCGTTTTCAAGAAACCCACCAAGAAACGTTCGAAAATCGAACTCGAATTGCTCCGATTGAACTGCAAAGTCGTAAACGTGGAAGTCGAAGAAGCCAAAGAAGTCCCTTGCACGGAACCGTTTTGCAAAATGGGATGCGTTTGCAAGAGCCTGAAGTGCGAGTACATACCAACTTACCACTGTCAAAAGCTCGATTGCATGTTCAAGTGTACTTGCCCCAACGAAAAGCCACTGGTTTACAACAAGGTTACATTACCTGCCGGCACTAATATCTTATCCGAGGACGCCATGATTAGAATAGAAGACGAAGCGAAGAAAAACTTGGCCAAAATGGAGCGCGAGTTTACCCAAACTGTGATACACACTAATAACAAGACTATAGTCGTCGGTATTGGAAATCGCATGAAAACCAGGCGAAGTACTAAAGCTCCTGTTAAATATACAGATTTCGTGGATTCGAGAGAACCCATATGCACTGAAGAGAAATTGGCAAGTCGTTGTACAGTGAACTTGACGAAACTAGACCTATCCAAGCTAATCCCTTACTGTTTGTTCCACAAGAATTACAATTGCTTTTGTAAAGGTAAAGCTACGGTTCAATCTACCAAAAACACACCGGAAAAGGATACATTGATAAAATTACCAAAGACTAATTATTTAACTTTAAAAACGAGCATAAGCGATGTAGAAAGTATCGAAAATAGTTCTAATTCCAACGATAGTTTGTCATTTTCCAAGCGCCCCGTAAGAAATATTAAGAAGCGCTCATACTCCGATTTTAGCGATACTTTTAGCGATATCAACGACGAAAGCAGTAGGACCATGTGCCGAAGGTCTAAGCCTATGCTTAAAAAGTACCTCAAGAGTTACAGGTACACCAAAGACGTCACCAAAATGGATTTCGCCAACACCGCTACGTTCGAACAATTCCAACGGCTCGAAAAATTGGCCTCCAGCGGCGAATTATCCGAAGCCGAATTGTTGAAAATATCGTTAGTGGAAGAGCGGTTCAAACGGCCCGTAGGAACCAGCAAGAGGAAGCAGGTTTTGCTAACGCGCTCCGAAGACGTTCCCGTGTTTGTAGAAAAAGTCGTTAAAGAAGATCAGCTCAGCGAAACGTCCACTCGAAACAACAACGGCGTCGCGCCGGCGCCGGCGCCGGTGTTCGACGGCGAGATTATCATCGACGAGCAGAACATGGATTTGCTGAAGAAAATGGGCCCGAAAACCGTCGCCGACGGCTACGCCCGGCTGCTGCCTTGGCCTCACCTGATCCGCGGCTTCCACAGCAACTGCATCAACATCTGGTGCATGGCCAACCAACCGACGAAGTTGCTGATTAACAAGAGCGACAAGCGGTGTCCGAAAAATTTCGTTCCCATCTCGCGCGCCACCCAAATCACCGAGGTGATATCGTGGATTTTGGACAACAAACTCCCCGATACCTACCAAGCGGATTCTCTGTCGTTCATACTGAAGGAAACCAAAGATAATTTCGAAATTTGCGGTATTTGCACGAAGAACATCTCGATTAATCTAAAATCGGAGAAGCTCAGCGAGCCTGTTAAGACCGAAACGTGCAATTCCACGCCTTCTTCCATCGATACGTTCCAGAACGCCAACGTGCTGAGTATTGGAAAGAAGCTGGTGGTGGTGAAGGAGAATAATCTAGCCGTACAACGGCTGGGCCCCATCGACAATCCCCGGCACGTAAACTTAATAGACAACTTCGTGCGATTACCGCTCACCGACGCCCCGTGCAAGTGGCGCATGATCTACCTGAACTCGGAATTCGCTTTCCTGTATTTCAAGAACAGCGCCACGTCCATTCGCTACAAAGACCTCTTCGGCGTCTCCCAGATATCCAGGAAATACAACAACACGATATCGCTGAAATGCAAGGATTCGAAGAAAGATTTGTTCGGTATTTATTTCGATCCGACTTGGCGCGATCGGATTTACGTGGGGCCGTACGATATGGACGATAGCGAGGATAACGTGCAGACGTTGCGGTACATCAATCAGCGCATCATTTCCACTGAAAATTTCAACAAGTTGCGAGGAAAGGACGACTACAAATGCGGCTATTGGTTGACTTCGAAGGTGATGAAAAGCGCCCAGAAGGCGACGCCGCCCGAATCGAGTACTGTGATAGATCTAACGTCGGAAAGCGAGAGCTTGGGCGAATTCAAGGCGGAAAACGAAATGAATTGTCGTCCGCCGATTATTGTGCACAATAACAAGGAGATTAAAATTATCGAGGCGCCGCCCAGGAAGCCCGAGGATTTCAACAGGTATATTATAACTAATATACCGCATTTCGGGTATTTGGGGGCTTTCATGAACCCAAGCGGGGAAATTGACGTGTCCTGGCCTTTCGAGAATAAGCTGTTGAGATTCGAGGACGAGCATAATGCTATAATGTTCCTGCAAGAGTGAGTCATTTTTTCTTATTTTAAGATGGGAGGAATTCCTTCCCAATTTTTGAAAATGTGTTATTATAATTCTTTCTATCAATTTTCAGACGATTTTCTTCTCTTCTTCAATGTGTGCCAGAAACTTTCACTATCACAGTAATCGCATCACACAATATTGATCTTGAGCTTTATAAGCCGATCAATTCCAACGTTCTTAATGGACATCATGTAAGTAGAATTTCTAAATTAATAATTTTTTGTTATCAAAATTTTATCAGAAATTTGATCAAAATATTTTTTAGATTTGCGGCGAATTTGGTTGTTTTAATATCATGCTCTTGAACGACAAGGAATGCCAGCAGAAGGTAGGATGTCCCAAAGAAGATGTTTTGAAGTTGTTCGAAAACCGAGCGAGGAATTTCGTTAAAAAGAAAATCGAGTATCTCGCGGATATTTTAAAAATACCACAGACAATTAAATATGACTTAAATCATGTGTTGAAAAAGGTATATTCTTAACTACAAAAGTAAATACAAACCTGTATAATTAAATATCACGTTTTAGGCTACTACGGAAATCAATATTGAAAAGCAAAAGGAACTTAATTATATCGAATACAAAACTCAATTGTATCGCAAGAAACGGGTTATGGCTCTAGCGATACATAAAATCTTGACTACCTTACCGCCTGCCCAGAGAAATGCAGAAAACTTGAAGTTTCGAGCGATTATACAAAAAACGGAACCTATTGAAATTCATGATTCAGACGATGAATCCAGCAGGAATTCTACAGACACAATGGTAAATATTTCTCTACTAATCAAGCTAATTAATACATTCCTGGGGCATTTTGTAGTGATAATAATTCACATTTTTCTATTACAGGAGCAACAAGTGCTGCAACTTTCGGAATCACCTCCATGTGAACCAAGCATGAGCTACAAAATGGTACATATAACATCAACAGAAATATCATGATATTAATGCATTCTCTAATTTTTAGAGCACTAAAATAAATTTAAACCCGAAGGGCTACAGATCCATTTTGAAGAAGTCCCAAGTAGCCACTAACGAATCGTCTGTAGATATAAATAATGCGAAATTAACGAAAACGGCTTCGATTTTAAAAGGTAATTTGCAGCCTGAGAAGGATTCCAAGCTGAAAGTAGCCACATTGAAAAATGTGAAACTAATGCGAACCCCTACTGGATATAAATTTATTATAGGTAAAGATTATAAGAACTGCACCCCGCTTCAGTCGGAAACCCTCGGCAAATGTAAAGAAGACATGGACGTCGATAGCGATAGCAATAATTCAACTCCCGGTTCTAGTACGCGAAATTATTTAAACGCCACACTGACTCGTTCAGTGCCGACGAAATTAATTCAGAACGGTCCATTCAACAAACTGAAACTTACCAACGACCAAATACCAGTAAACAACGATTTGAAATCAAAGACGTTTGTTATAGTTGATAATAAAGTGGTTAATTCCGATAGTAACTGCGATGCTAGTCGTCTGAATAAAAGAATTTGCGTTAGAAAACGAGAAACTGAGGTGGAACCGATGCTAATCGACTGTGACGACGTATTGGAGGACGTTAAAGCTACGATTAATGACTTTAAAAGTTCATCGTGCGAAATTATAGATTTGGACGAGATAGAAAGCGATGAAGAGAGAGTCAGTGATAGAGAAGAGGAAAATGTCAAAACGGAAATCGAATCGACTCCGATGAGTCCGGAATTCGTTAATGTCTACGATTGTAACAGTATTAATGAGAACATTGCAGATAGTTTAAATGAAGACATATTGAGCATTAGCTGATAAAATTAAGGTATAAGAAGTTTTCTTATAGTAAATAAATCATTTTTATTGCAAACATGTCGAATTGGATTATAATTTGACTGTTCTGTAAATTTCTATTATGGCTGTATTCGCTGAAACTAGGGAAATAATTTGTAAATTTACTTATATACACTGTTAATATTAGGCGATAAGATTTTGTTAATCTTGTGATAATTGTATGAAGACTACAGCTGGTGCAAATTAATGTATTTAGTTGGTTTCTTTTAAACAGAAACATGTTTATTTATTGTACATATTTTTATTATTGTATTTATTTATTTAGTAACAGTTTGAAATTACTTATTGAACTCGTTTTGTCCTTGCACCAACATTATTATTGCATTGAAATCTGTTAGTTTCTTTTTTCGCGAAAAATTGTATTAAAATAATAAGAAACATAAATGTTTGGTAACCAAACGTTTTGTATATAATATTGGTATATTAATGTTAATAAATTATTGAAAATATTACTATATTTTTATAAAATTTGTCCACTAATGCGTAAAGCGTATTTTCTACGTATAATTCCTATAAATTTTATAAGTAACCAATGATTTAGATTTTGGGCTTTAGCAGGTAATTTCTTTATCTAATAAATTTTATTTTTCATCTAGCGCATTCTTTTATGATTGTTTAAAGCAAATTAAAGGTGACGCATTGTTAAATATTCAAGATAAGAGAGATTTAGAGTCGATTCTAATATGTTTACGTTTATTAAATTAGTACCTGACGAATAGTTAAATCGTTGAATTTAAACGAAAAATATGAAAATTCAAAATAGCAACATGCATCTTGTGAAAATCTTTATTCTAGCTTGCATTGTTTGTTCACTAGGTAGGTAAGTTACTGAGTAAAGTAGCAAATTTCATTTTGATAGCAAAATAATAGTGTATTAGTAAATAATTGTTGGTTTTTTAAGGTTCAGCGAATGAAGATGAAGTCGAAAATGATACATTGAAAGACTATAAAACTGTCTATGAAGGTTTCCACCAGGTAATCTAATTCTCTTAATAAAAAATGAGATCTAAATCTAATCTTTTCTATTTCAGGTGTCTATTCATTTAAGTTACAACGACGACTTTTTGTGCGGAGGAGCCATAGTTTCGCCTAACACTGTTGTTACCGTAGCTCATTGTTTATATTACAGTTGGGGTGGTATAATTCCACCCCTTATATTGGCGATAAAAGCTGGAAACTCCGATTTGAAATCGCAAAACATTCAAAGCTACAGTGTTTCCAAAGTAACTTTTCACGATAAATTCGATGCCGTCAGTATGAAGTACGATTTAGCTGCGTTACAGGTTAGCAAAATCAGCCAAATTCAAGTTATATCTAACTTGAAGTAATTAGCTATTATTTCTATAGGTCATAATAATTTTCAATTCTGTATAAACATGGAAATATATTATTTAATTTTTTTAGGTATCTACACCATTTCCTTTGGAGAATTCTGCTATAGGCATAATTCCTGTAGCTAAGGATACTTCTAAATTTTATAGCAATTGCTTGGTTTACGGATGGACAGAGGTAAACATTTCTTTGATAGAAACAATATATTTACAACATAAAATTTATTTCTAAGCCAAAAATCGAAAGTACGAAACGTAAGAATCCTGAGGGTGCATATTTAATAACATCTTCAAGATTATCTTCCTAATTCTAAATTAATACAATAACGTCAACTAATCATAGGAAATTAATAATACTTTTAAAAACAGATCATTTACAACTAACACATATTTGAATCGCTCAGCAACCAGATTGGCCCAACTGCGAAATTGCATTAGCTGGTATCAATCAAGAAAAGTGCTGCATATTTTCTAAATTTCAAGTATACGTTTCAAGAGCCCAAATGAGCTTTTCTAGTTCACTAATAGAGATATAGCGTGCATACTTAGGTCATTTGATGATACCAGTTTGGCCATTGCGGCGCTGAGCGACTCTTTAAAGTGCCTGGTTGCAAATAAATGGTTAATATTGGTTCAATTCTTCAAATGCATTCCAACAGCTTGGTCTGAAATAAGCGTTAATCTGCTCAAAGCTTCGATTTCTTCGTCAGTAGCGTCTCTGATGCAAACGGCGTTGAAGATATTAGAGCCTGCCATTCTTCCTACGCACCTCACCATTTTGCCCAAATGGAAATTTTCTATAGCCAGATGGGTGAGTTGGTAGTAGACGACTTGCAAGATGGGGCCGACTCTGTCGCGCAACAGCATTATTTTCTGCGTTTTTATCTTCCCTTCCTGAAGGGTGACGACGCTTGCGATAATTTCAATGTAGAAAAGCGCATTTGGTAGTAATTTATGCCAGTGTATGGCTCTTTCTACAGTCCCTGTGAGTAAGAAGAGTTTTTCTTCGGGACGTCCACTGAATTGCCTGAATTCCTTATTATTTGCACTAACTTTAGATGTAGTAGGATTGTTGTTGTTTTGTATCTGTAAGTTTCTTGGATTTGCTGGTGTTACTGACGTTTTGGAATATTCAACGGTGTTCGGGACATGTGGGTTGTTTTGAATGGTGTTTATAAGCGCTGGTGGTTTCATTACCGCAATGCCTGTTTGTGCTGATTGCAATGTAGTTTTTGGAAATCGAGTATTTTGCTGTGTTGGAATGTTTGGATTGACTTTGATTTCCATGGTAGAGGCGCCGGGACGGGAATAATTTACATCGTATGGAATGTACTGAATGTTAGGAGTGTTATTCATGTTGAACTTTTTCTTCTTGAATGCTTCCTTAGGCAGCACATTGTATTGTCCTGTTGGAGTTTGAATGGTTTCCATTATAGGATATTCCCACCTCCTTGGTTGTTGTGGAGGCGGTAGGTAAACATTAGGCATGTCAGACATAATATAAGTATTAGGAACGTTGCCATTGTGTTGCTGCGGAGGTCCTGCCCAATATCTTTGATACATTTTGTGAAAAATTAAATTGTTTCTGCGATGTTTTGAAATTTGAAATGGATTGTTCTGCTTTTTGTATGTCACTGACGTAAGTAACTGATGACTTCTGCCCATGTGTTATTCAGTTACTTTTTAATTGACAGCTATTTGACAGAGTATATGTTTTTAATTCTACTTTATTTCAGGATACGAATACTTTGCAATATTTAGACGCAAGATTAACTGTCTGTACACTTGTTAACGAAGGAAGAATTTGCGTGGACGCAAGAAATAGTTCATATGTATTAGGTGGTCTTTGCCAGGTAATTTAGACAGTAACGACAGAAAGAATTTTTCGTGAAAACGTTAATGCTTTAGTTCCGTGAAACTTTGACAAGTGGCAGCGGACAGTGACAGCAAAGCTGCTGATTTGAATTTAAATTTTTATATTTTTTAACAATAAAATTTAATTATTTATTTTTTAGTACGCGCCTGGTAGTTCGTTAGTCTGTGATAATAAATTGATTGGAATTCTTTTTTCTAAACCACTGTGTAATGGCACCGAGACTACTGTGTTCGAAAATGCTAGATATATTCTAGATTTTTCAGACGAAATTTCTTATTCAGCATCTCCAGCGGTCATTCCTGTTGAATCTAATCAGTTTTTAAACTTACTACTAGCACTGTTATCTTTTGTACTCAATTTTTTGTTTTGAAACAATATTCTAATGTATTTTTGAGAGTGATAAATACAAATGTTTGGTGTTAATGGCTTAAGCTTAAAAGTTCCTTTTACAATCCTATTTTGTATTGAATAATGTTAATATTCAATAAAAGTCGTAAAGCAAACGAGAAGACCGATATTATCATTGTTGTTTAATAAGATTTTAATGATAAACCGTTGTAAGAGTTTAGAAATTTGGTTACCTGCACAAAATTTTCCCTTGCACAAATATTTATCAAGATAGGTAATTAAGTAGTTAGGGATATTGGAAATAAGAACTACATTTCATTAAACTCTTTGGGTAAAGACCAAACATAAAATTACCATCAAGGAGGTTACACTCAAACTAGTACGTCTCCTTGTTTATTATCAATAGTTTAATTATTAACGCTGTAAGTTTCAAAATGTCGCAATCAGATAGTGATAATAGTTTAAGGAGCTCTTCTGTCGATAGCCTGGGTAAGTAAGCATTATATTTACCAAAACCCTACCTTTATTGTACAATTTTTTTAGTACCAGTACCATTGCGGAAAACATTTTATTCCAACACCTCAGTTTGCGGAGTAATTGACGATAATGTAAGTACGATTATTCGTTAGGGTTTCCTCCACTTCTAATTGCGGCGATTTCAGGAATTTATAACGGACTCTGGTAGTTTTTTGACCGCATCAGATAGCCAACAGAACTGTTGCCGTACGAGCAGCTCCAAGTCCTTCGAACTATCCGTGGATTTTTCCCCGCAAACACTGAAAGACTGGCTGCGCTTGGCGAAAATTCTGATCAGCAGGACCGAGAATCCGCAGAACAAGCATCTGATAGCGAAGAAAACGGACGAGTTGCAGGATTTTTTCTACTTCTTAGCCATCGAGTACTTTTCTACCGAAAATTTCTTTGAAGAATTCTTGGAGCAAAAACGCGAAGAATTCATCGATAATTGGCAGAATGTGGTCGATGATTGCGTTAACATATTCGATCTATTATTAGAAGTTATCGATAATATCGATTTAGATAATAGTTTTCGTAAAGCATAAGTCATTTTTTACACAATTTTTAATGAAATTATTTACTTTTTCCTTATATTTTTACTTGTTACTATTAAAAAAACGATTTGATTTTAAATGATTTATTGTACACAACTAATAAGTAAGATATGGCGGATGTCCGTAAGTATCGTAAATTTTTTCCCAAAACTTCATTTGATCTTCCCTGTAGTTTTGGTGTAATGAAAGTCTCTTGTCTATTTGCAAATATGTGATGTTACTGGTCGAATTTACCGCTGGCCAAATATAGTTTTGAAGAAGAGGGTCTTTATGTGGCGTAGGATTTCTAAAAAATGATTAATAATTAATGTCCTGTTTTGTGTTTTGGCAACATTCAAAATTGAGCATCGCTGCCATGTGTATTTGTTTTCAATAAAAATACCGAACATTTTGGAATTAAATGTAAATGGAAATTGGATTATTGTGTAATAAAGGCATAATTAGATATAAAATAAAATTATTACTACTAATTTTAGTAATAAAAATATTTTATTGACCTAATTTGACTTCTTAGATACAGTTGTATTAAAAAAAAAGGGTACAAGTAATAGAAAGAGACATTAATGTCATCCTATTTGCGTAAAACCGGCTAGAATTATTTTAGCTTATCAAATGTCATATGTTGAAAAAAATGGAAATCATTGGCGTTGGGAGTTGGCATTTTTGACAACTTTTGACATTTGATAAGCTCCAATAATCCCAGTCGGTTTTACACAAATAAGATGACGTTAATGTCTCTTTCTATTACTTGTACCCTTTTTTTTAATACAACTGTGCTACAATTATTAGATATTAGCGAATAAAGGTACGTATTTAACAGTATTTATTACTTACCCCGTTTTAATAAAATTACTCCATATTCTCATTAATCTTCTGGCTATTAATTTATCGTAACCTACAGGAATTAAATTTAAATCTTGTCTTTTCCACAGATAAAACTGTTCTTCAAAATGGGCGACCCCTAGAATTATGTAAGTACATTCATATTATTTAATTTGTTCTAATCAGTAAACTATTGAAACGAATTATTACTCAAGAAAACAATCAATTCTTTGCGATTAATAATTTTAATCAATACCTTTAAGAGAGTTGAAATTATAATTTTACCGGAAGGATTATGAGAGCAGACGAGCATGCATATTGCAATGAAATTTTCTGCATCATTCAGAGGAAATTGCTGTAACTTATGCAGATTTAATATCGTAAAATCAATAATCAAATCAACTATACATTATGAACTAATTCCTATTTATTTTAATGCAATACAAACCTGCAGTACGTCTCTCCTCCCTGATTATTCTATGGAGAATTTTTGTGCCAAACGTGCTGCTGTACGAAAACATGTAATAGTATATCGGTGTGTACCTCGACATTAATTGCACGTGCTTATGTATGGGCCTGATAAAACGGTCGTCTGAGGTGTACTAAAAATAAAACATTTCGTATTATGTTAAAAATGTTGATGAAACCCTTACTTGTAATATTCCGTCCACATCGGCGTTAATGTATGAACCACCCGGGAAATAATAATTCAGTATTCTCTTTCCGGCTTCCCGGCGTTCTTCGGCCGTTTTTATGTTCATATCTTTGCTCGGCAAAGATCCGGGACTAAAATCGTACAGCACATTCAGCGGCCTAAGCAACACCAATCCTAAAATTTTATTTTCCTAACAAATAAATCGAGGGCAAAAAATCTAAACAAACCATCAGCAAAAAACAACGTTTCCAATGAATTGACGCCCATAAGTACTGGCATCTTGTTGAAATCTCCTCTCTGGAAGGTTTCGTATACGGTTTTGGTCAGGAAAGCGCCTTTGTGCTCAGGCTCTATGCTCGGAGCAAACGGGAATCCTTCCCTTTCAGTTTGAGGAAGATACTGAAAAATAAATATTGTGTACTTATTCCGAGAATTCCTGAGAAGGTATACTAAATATCTCAATAATACATTTAAAATAATTATTTTCTCAAGAGTAGGTACAGAATCCCGAAAATATATTGTATAACCAATTTTTGTGGAGTCTTACTATTATCATTATGATCCTTCCAGCTCTCTTCAGCTGCTCAACGTCGGTTCTCCTTAATTTTTCAATCAATTCTTTGGAGCTGCTCGTTCGTATTCCAACTCCCAATCCTAAATCGAACGCTATTTTTCTCGGATTCCTCTGCACGGCCCAGCTGCACAAAGGGCTGCCGCTATTCGCGATAGCCCTGTGAAACAGCCCTTTGTTGTTTTTGTGGACTATTTGATAGAACACCGAGGCGGCTCCGGCGCTCTGGCCCGCTACAGTTATTCGGTTTTTATCGCCGCCGAAGTGCTTGATGTTGTTCTGGACCCATTTCAGCGCCAAATGTTGGTCTTTCAGGCCGTAATTGCCGGGCGATTGTAGGTCTTCCGTGCTGAGGAAACCTGAATGGGAAAGGTCTTTAAAAAACGGCGTATTGTTGGAGTTAATACAGACCGAAAACGCCTATTCGGTAATTGAACGTGACTGTTATGATGTTTTGCTCCAAGTAGTTGTCCGCTCCGTAGAATTTTGATGATGAATTACCGAAGGCGAATGCGCCTCCGTATATCCATACCATTACCGGTAGTAGTTCCTTGGAGGTTGAGGGATTCTGAAAAAATTATTGATAAAAAAGTCCAATGATTTAAAAATTTAAAATTCATATATGAGCATTTTTTTTCATTTTCTGGCGCGTATAAACTTCTATAGGAAGAAATTATTTTGTTGTTTACCATGGCTTTTTATGGGGTGTGTTTTAACCTTTTCTAGTAATTTTTTTTTTGAGTATTGTTTTGTGAATATAAAATATAGTTTTGAAGGTTTCTTAAACGATTTTATGAGATATTTTTTACGAATGTAGTTTCATAATTAAAATCGGCCATTAATTTGGGTAATTATTATGTGTGATTTAAGAGTATTTTTTTTAATTGTAAAATGCTTAATAATTCTAATATTTATTGCTACTTTTAATATTCATTCAGCGGTTATTGGAGAATTAAAAAAAAAAACGATTAACAGCAATTTATTTTTGTTTTTTTTTTGGTCAAATTTGATCTTTCCATTTGGAAAATTTGACATAATATTTTTCAAAATTATAGTACTTGCTCTCTTCTACATGTGAAAATTTACATACATATAATTTAGCGCGTGTTATTTATGGTTTATTTTTAATTATAGATATTGAAAATTAGTTTGTAATAAATTACAGCAAAATCTTTGAAAACCTTGAGTAACCCACCAGAAATGAGTCTTATAATTCCTATTAAATTACAACCTTAAATATCATAAATTAACCATAAAAATCCTTTAAATTGTTTTACCAAAAAAAAAAAAAATAAAAAAAAATCATCTTAAAATCAGGAAACACTATTTAAAGTAGTACCTAATCATAATTTCAGTAAAATGATTTAGAATCATCAAAAATTCGTTAAATAATTAAAAACAAATCAAAGAACAAGAAAACTTTTATAGTTTAAAAAAATTATTAAATACATATAACCTTCAAAAAAATCTTAGAAAATCAAGGCCAATTTCCAGTACTTAGGTGACTTAAAACTTAAATATTCATTACGTTTTATTATTATTGAAAATTCCTCATAGCTCAAAATTGATTAATACATACTTTAGATGTATAAACGTTTATATACAAGCAATCTTCATTGCCGAAAACCATTATATCATTCCATTCCAAGTTGTTCATCATCTCCACGCATGAAGTCCTTTCTTTTGTCGCATCCAAAACACCATTCCATGATCTAGGCGATTCTGGAGCCTATAATGGAATGAATGAATCAACTAAAGCAGATTAAATTTACATATTAAGTATTTCCACAAGTGTTGATTTTTATGAAGGCTGCTTTATCATCAATGATGCTATTGATGATATCGATGTTGACTTTGAGCCAATTAACGAGGCTTCAATTCCATTAGTTTTGAATTCATTAGTATTCTTTTAGGAAGTTCATTGGGCCTTGTGATTTTCCTTGACGGAAATGTATATTTATAATAATGTAATATGCTATAGGTTATTCACTATTTATTGAATAACACTTAATAATTGTTAGTAGGGATCTTGTTTTGAGTTAATGCAGCAGAAGTGCCGGAAAACATAGATCAATTATATTTTATACAGGCTCACTCTAAAGCGTAAATTTCCTATGGGTGGTTTAGCGAATGGGATTCCTTCGAAAGCCCAATAATTTCTTCCAAGGTACGTTGTCCCCGTTCGTCCTTGCACGAAGCCTTTGTTTGTTGTTACGACCAGATTTTTATTCTGAAAAATAAAATGAAGAATGAAGCAAGTAATTTTAGTAAAAAGATACAAAATAATTTCGACTCCATAAAAAAACTCATGTTATTTTAAAGTTAAAGTGCTTACATGTAGAAAAATACATTTAATCTCGTAGATGTATTAAGATTAAAAAACAAAATGTTGGTACATACTACTTTTAAGTGGATTCTTCAGTGTTAAGAATCTGGTTTTTGAGCACGTAATTTCTCTTGAACATGAACTTGAATTATTAAAAAGCAATATTTTAAAATAGATAATTGTGGTCTTGTGGGTTAAGGTTGTTAAGTTGTGAAGATGTCCGCACGTTTTTGTTTATATCGAAGTAATTTGAATAAGGTATTGACAAGGTTGTGAATAAAGGAATTGATGAAAACCAAAAATGGAAATTAATTGATCATGATTTGTTTTGTATTGTTCACTTAATCTGTAAAATTATGGAATATGAAGTAAAATATATGCGTACAATAACTATAATATTTATTATTATTTAGATATAATAGTTTAAAGAGGATTGATTAAAAAAGCCGGTTGTACGCATAAAATATCTTTACTCAATAATAGTCATTGATTAAGTTTATTACCAATATATTCAATTTTTATTGCTTTCATTCAAGGTGCAAAAGTCAAAGTATATGCAATTGTTATAATTTATATTTTGTATCAATCGAGATGTTCCGCAAAGAATACCTAATAAGTAGGATACTAACGCAAATTTTATAGGTTTCCACGAGTAACTCCGTAACTATCCATTTCACAAACTTTGCTTATGCTTCATTTTATAAGGAAAAGTTTGTTCTCCAACTTTCAAATTTACTTTATTTTGTTTACTTTTGCTTAGTTTTCATATATCTAAAATATAGTGACTAATTTTCCATTTTCATGCCTTAGAAATTACTTGTTTAAAAACTTTAAAACTGAAACTATAAAACTTTATTTATTTTTTTAGCGCTTAGCAATATTTTGATATCAACGATTCTATTCTAATACAAAAAATGTTAAATAATTTTGAATTTTCACCTGCATTAGGTACTCAAACAGCAAATTTAAATAATTTTTTTTTAACAAGTTGTTCAAAATATTTTGTAAACAATATACTGGTAAGTAATTTAAATTTATTGTTCGACCCAAAACAGTTTAAAAAAATCTCACCACTTTTTCCGGATCAATGAAATTTAATCCCCAACCGAAACCGAAAAGTCCGATCGCATTCAACAAAAAATACTCAACGAAAAAATATCGCATTTTTCACGAACCAATTCAACACGAGCACTGCTTTAGTTTCTCACCATGACCGAGAGCAACGCAACTTTTCGTCCTGCCTTGTTAGTACTGCTGTTTTATTAAAAATAATAACCATCCGCTAACGCAACGCGGTTTTGTCTACGGCATATCGATTGAAAAAACTCGCTACGATGAAAATGTTGCAGATTTTTAGACACCTATCTAACAACAAAAGATTGCAGAAGCAATATCTAGCCTTATTTGAACCTGTTTGCAACACGATCAATTTAAAATGGCATTGACGAGATTATTTACCACTCGAAATATCAAATTTTTTATTAAGTTTACCCGTTAACGAGAATTGTTTACTTTATTAATATCTCCCTGAACTTGACTTTCCTATAGTCTTTTATTGTCAGGTATTTATGTACTAACAGGGATATTCAACCCTGTTAATTTGTAGGGGATGTAATTAAAACGATAATGGATTTTTGAATTTTTTTATTACCAAAATTAAACTATAAACTTAAAATAGTATCACTGACTCATTGGGCAATGTCAACATAACTATAAAATCGAAATGTATGTACAATCGTTAAGGGCGGATTGGTGACTAGGGTGCTAGAAGCTATTTTTGCGTTTTTAGTACGTACACAATACTAAGTTCAAGTTAAAGCTCAATTTAAACTACACCTATACAGAGTGTGGTAAAGAAAAGCTTCTATATTTTCGGAATACTTTCATTAAATCGTTAAAATAGCAAGTAATAAATTCCTATTTAACTTGTTTGGAATCATTTTATGTAAAATGATTTTATAAAAATTGCAGTCGTTATTAAATTATCTACAAATTGCAATTTATATTCGCTTATTATGGTAATTTTGCATTTTCTAACAAAAATAATTTATTATTAACCTCGATTGATCATGCACTTGACTTGAACATAATTAATAATAAATATTTTGACTAGTGATTATTATTTACAGGTAATATTCCTTATTTCTTCATTTGTGTAGTCTGTTTTTGAAGTTTTCTTTACCACCCTGTATACTAGACTCAATTTAAGCTTTTCGGTTAATCTACTGACTATATTTTAATAAATGACAGTGCTAAATGGTCTAGTGTACAATTTATTTCTTCGTATATGAATGTATAATATCATCTACAACACATAGTTTAACGACTTATTGTGCGTTTTCACGAGAATATGAACCGTTTTAAAACGTACTTTTTTGAAAATTTATTAATACAAAATTACCTTCTGTTAGAAGAGAAAACAAATTGCAAATAAATTTGCGCGTCACTTAAATAATTGGGAATGAATGACACACTGTATTTTCAGTTAAGAAGCGTTAGCAAATGCATACGAGTATTTATAATCTTCATGCTTTAATTAATTACTCAATCATTCAAAACAATGGACCAGACAGCCTGACAGGATAATTAACATATTACAAATAGGTCTCAGTTTTGATTAATTAAATAACAAAAATTGTATAATGCTTTTTAGACTTTATGCACATTAGAATCTAAATTTTCTATTTATAAAAAAAATGATAATATAAAACGTTTAAAAGATGGTTCAAATCCTGTGAAATTGTTATGTTTATGCGACAAGGGGATTCTCGGTTTTTAATAATTTTTTATACACATACAATTTATGTAGCTTTTTCGTTAAAAACGCTCTTCATTTTTAAAACAAAGAGTTCCTTCGGAAACCTTTTTTGTAAGAAAATATTTCTTCGTAAAAATTTCTAAAATGTACCATAATTTTTCCATAATTTCGATACGTCCACGTTCGTAATTAATCATAATTTTAATACAATAAAGTTGTATAATAATTTATTTAAAAATTAGTAAAACGATAACATTCTCGTAAATTTCGTGGACTTTATAAAAACTATAAAATATCGCTCAAATATTGCTCTAGTTCTAGAGATATGTAGAAAGTATGATTTTTCCGATTTCATTCAAAAACACTGATCTAATCGACCATTACATCAAAACGTAAACTAAAACTACGCAAACCCATGGGCGTAACGGGTTGGTTTTCAACGTTCCCTACGTTACGCCACTGGCCAAAATACAACCAACTCATCTAATGAAACAATAACGTTTTTCCCTTAAATTTAAAGCTAAATATGATATGTATGAGTTACACACGTAAGCCTTGACATTTCTTTTAATAATTAAGCGTTGGATTACATTTGCTCCAATTTTAATTTTAGTGTAGAGAAGTCTGTTCGCAAATTAAAAATTTTCTTTCACTAAAAAATTAATTTCCAATTCTAATAACGAACGAAAATAAATTATTACATTTATAATTCTCCGAGGAATCTTTAATAAAGTAGTAGATTATTATTATTATAAAGCAAGAAAATTACTGGGTAAAAGTAGTGAATTGTTAATTTGCAATCAGACAAAATGTTTGATGTCAAAAACTCACATTTTAGGAAGACTTTTCCTGATCTAAATCGGCTTGTCAGTATACGGGTTCGGCTGAATTCCGCGCTAAATTTAGTGCTAAAATGAAGTCGAAACGTGAACAAATTAGCGCGGAAATCGGCAGGACCGGATCGATTTGTTCGGTCTACATCAAAAGCGGTTACAAAATGATACAGTACACCACTCGACTAGATAGTCAAAAAATAGGTAATAAGTTATAAACAGTTGATCCATAAATGGACAATTCGTATCTAAAGATTCTGAGCAATGCCTTATACAAAAAACGACAGTTCATGACTAATTTAGTCTAGTTTTTTCTTAACAGTAACAATAATAGTCAACAATGATATGTACAAAGTGATTTAATCGTAAGGTAATACCTCAGTGAGATAATTCGATTATTTTTACAAAACAAAGAGCTGCTTTCACCAGACAGAATTTTATAAAAACTATAAATTTATTTAGTTCTTATAGAACACTCGGTACCACCTTACTCATTAGTTTATAGTAATTGTCAGAGATTTTTGAAAAACATAATGAAACTACAATTAAATGTTCACGATATCAATATTAAGAAAATAAGGATTCATTTTCCATACAAGCCAAAAATCACATCTCAATCATTTCTTATCTTCCCTTAAGAGAGCGATAAAATTGAATGGAAACCTCAATAAATGTTGAATGAATGAAATATTCATTGAATTTTACTTTCAATCATGCAGTGCATCGTAAAATTTTCGAGTAGGTACTTAACATCAGTTTCTCCTGAAAGTAATAAAATTACTTCCCTTCTATTTCCATTCCATTCAAAATGGTGGAGACCTTTTGGCTCGCACTGTATAAATTCAGCGCGACTTCGATCAAAATCTGAAAATTCTGGAACAAATCGCAAGAATAAATAAATATGTTTTTACAGCGGTTTTATTTGGCACTACTCTAGTAAACATTGGCAGTGGTGAAATGGGATAGAGTAGTTAAATTTAAATTAAATTCGAATTTATCGGCCACTCTATGAAATTTTAACGCTTGCAAACATTCGAGGAAAATTGTAAATTGTAATGCTCCTATATTTTTTTATTTGCTGCATGATAAAAAGTATATTTTGTATAAATTTTTATACACGAACTCTCTTCAGTTTTTGATCGAGCAGAATGGAAAACTTTTTGAACATTTAACCGGCCAACATCACTATGTTTCTCATCGATATCTATACGGATTTAACTTACATATTTATATGATATGTATATATTTCTTGTAAATTTTAATTTAGCGTATTCAGTCTCGTTGTCACGATGGCGTCGATTGGATGTATTGAACTAGTTTCAATAAAACCATCGAGATCACCAGCACTTGCATCCTGTTGAAACATCTCGTCGAACAGGACTTCACTTCTATCGGTATGATCTCCACTTCTGCCATTTTGAAGATGGAAAGCAGCAAATGCGAGACGAAATCCGGACTCTTCGAGTTTATTCTGTCGCTGACCATTTCCAGCAAATCCACGCATTCCTCCTGCAACAAACACCCAATATTATCTCATCGCCCTTATTATTCTTTCAGCTATTCCTGCTGATCCGTACATCATTATTTACCCGCCCTAGCCCATTCCGAAATGTAAATTACGCGGAGCGCTTCGGTTTCGCGATCGAGTGCGTTCTTTAATTTTATTTCCGAAGCTCCGAACATTAATTAGAGTTATTTAGACAACACAAACCTTCTCCTTTGCGAGGATTTCCGGCGGGGACAATTTGGTGTAGTCGATCTCCTCGGAGAGCTTGCCCGCAATTATGACGTTTTCTTTTGTCGCATTGAAAAACTCCAGCGTACAAAGGGTCTGTAAAATACATTAGAGGACTTAATTAGTTTTATTCAACAGGTTCTCTAAGGGCTGTAACGAGGGAAGGGAGGCGTAATAGAGGCTCTATGGCTGCGGGACGGTCTTATTTTGGTTTTCTACGGTTGTTTTATTTAAAATGGACGGTCGATAGTGGAATAATTTAGTTTCACTACTATAGGTGTGTTTGAGTTAAATTAATTACGTGATTTTTTTAGATTTTAAGTAAATAACATTAAAAAAATATATAAAAACTAATTATTTTTGTTAGTACGTATGTGTTATTAAAGTAAATTAAAATTTCAAGGCTATGTATTAAGTAAGTCTTCTGTAGAACTAATACAGATAAAAAAAATCCTAATAAACCTATTATTTTAAAATTTTTTAATATATTTTTGTATCTCATACACTAGATTAATTGCTTTTAATGAGAACTGCATTACTATTGACACTTTAAAGTAACTATCTAATTTATCTAATTAAAATAATTGAGAGAAAAAAAAGGTACAAATATTAAGTAAAATTCACGGTCATAATTTAATAAGTACATACAAGAAATTTCAATGTGAATGCTACGACAATCCGTAACATAATTGCGAGTATTTTTGGTTCAACAATTACTCTCCACAGTCACCAGATGATGCGAACAAAATTATTACTTTTGTTCTTGACATAATTGGAGTGAAGATTTGAGTAATAATGCATATACACGCACTGTGGCGCACTAAGAATTATTTCCTTTGAAAAAAAATCGCATAGAACTTAGTTTTTGATACACCATTGCGTGTGCTTTTAAAAAATTAACATAATAAAAGAATGGTAAAGGAATTAAATTATTATGCACTACCGCTTTTTTTTGATTGAGCAACTTTTAATCTGAAATGATACGGTCGATTAAAAAATTGTTCAAAAACATAAGGACAATTGCAAAGTGACAGAGTTAATTATATTTTTTTAAATAATATTATTGTTATATAAAAAACAGGATTTTAAAGTGTTTTTTGCATGGATTTAGAGATATACAGGGTGACCACTCCAAAACACTCATTTATTAATATTTCAAGATTTTATATTACTATAGATGAAGCGGGACAAAATTGATAAATCCCCTCTACACCTATTTACTTTAATTTCCAAACCAAACATATTGCATCCCCCCCCCCCCACAGAAAACATACCCCATTAACAGCTTCCTCTTCGATAATATTCTGCAGCACCCTAACTATATCCTGTACGACGATCACGCTGTGATTTTTGTTCAGCTCCCTCTCATCCACTTCGCTGTAACCCAAAAAGAGGAAAACTCCTTGAGGCAATGTGTAATCGTTCGGCATGGGCTTCATGCATATGAATCTAGAACAGAGAAATTAATACTTGTAGGTGTGTTGTTTTAGGTAAATAGGATACATCAGCTGAATTTCTTAGGCTTTAAATTAAAGGCTTAAAAATATGGAAAATAATTTAGTTTCCTCTGCATCAGTAACATTTTCTAACAAGTTTTCATAAATTTGTAATTCTCTCATTTCAATAATTATCTAAGAACCTTTGATTGCAATATTGAATAGAGTATTAGTGTGGATAATGTTGTTTGGAAATTTCCGAGGCTATTGCACGAACTTACCTTCCCGAATAGCATAAACATCTACCCCTGAATGCTTGAAACGCTGGCGCAGCATGATTGTAATACGCGAATTCTGTCTTACAAGGCATCCTGTCGATGCAAATAGTCCTGCACGTTAATTTCTCCCCTACTTCGCATTCGCACACGTCCGAGCATTCGAATTCGTCCTCGTGGTAAATCTAGAAAGCGTACATAAAAATAATTACATACAGTGCGATATGAATAACTGTAGAAGTAAGCTGCGCGAGATTCATTGCGCATTTACAGTAATCTACAATTAAATAAACGTTGACTTAAGAAGTATTTACAGTTGGTCTTTTAGGCTAATATCGCGTTAAATTTGTTTGTTAGCATTAGTAACACCTTAACACAGCGAAAATTAGAAGTAATAAATTCCAGTTAATTTAACCTTTTGTGTTATTCGAGCCTCTAACCAGACGACACGACGGTGTCGAAATGCGAATTATCTTCTAGTTCGTTATGAGCCCTTGTTCCATCAGATCAGAGCCTCGTTTGGCGATAATTTTCGTTGAAAAGTAAACGCGTAAGTTGAATTGATTCATGAATATCAAATTGTCGGACTAATTCGGTTGTTTCGAATGCGTTTTTCGATAAAAGTCCGTGCGATTTCCGACGGATTAATATAAACCATATGTCGATTACGGGCGCATAGTCGGACTTAATCGAAATGAATTGATTCGTTTTTGAAATGGAATAAACTAGGCCGAGTCAATGGGATTTTTTGCGACGATTTATACGATCCGATTTTTTTAAATATTACTACCGGTATTATTACAAGCATTTACACTCGTTCGGAGTCATCGAAAAATAACTCAATGAATTTACACAACTAACAGAACTAGATAAATATTTTTCAAGTTCCATAAATTAATTATTTAGCCAGCTATCCTCTAAAAATATCCAAATAGTAGAGAGAGCAAACTTACCCTTTTAAACGACCCCTCACGTATGAAATGATTAGGAAACTGCGGCCTTTGCACAACGCAAGATCCTGCAGAGGAAAAAACATATTTTTAGTACACCCGAATCTCCCCAATCACCGCCAATTTAACTTACTTGGAGGTAACGTGGTAGTTGTAGTAGTAGTTCTCCTTCTGGTGGTCGGTTTGGTAGTCGTGGTGGTGGTGGTGGTGGTTGTGGTGGTAGAGGTGCTGGTGGGAACGAAGGGTTGCGGGGGAGGAATGAACTCTGCGATGGTGTTCACTCGGGTTTGCAAGGAGGCTTCTGTGGCCTGGATGATGACCTGCGGGGAATGGTGATGGGTGGAAGTTGGCCGATGGCGGATCAGCGGAGATGGTGCTGTCGATGTCGGCGGTGGAGAGTGCGTTGCCTGCTCCAGGGCTCTGGCCATGTGGTATTGTTTTTGCGACTCCACTGGAGAAGAAACGAATAGTATATAGGTAGATAAATTTAACAAAGTGCGTAAATGTATTTGTGGAAGGACTCTAATAAAAAAATCGGGACGTTTTTTAGTGTGCCGAAGGAAAAAGCCATTAAATTTATGCTGTTTTACACGAGAAACTGAATAAATATTGTGCCATACGCAGACATTAAACAGTTTGTATTTTTCTCGTTTCCACGTACAATTTGTTTCTGTCAAGCAATACAAATCTTTACTCGACCACAATATTTTCGTAGCTAGAATATAACGTTTTCAAAACTTTATACAGAAACGGATCAGGCCCAAATTATCATAGAGTATACTAACAAATTTCCACTTAAACACCTAACAGATATTTTCATAATACATACATGAAACTGACTCCGAAACTTCCAATAATAACAAACTTAAAAACGAAATTATACGTTAATGAATGTTTTTAAATATTTATACGAATTTCCCAGCTACTTTATTCTTTTTAGTTTCAACTTCAATTCAATTTCTGTTTTACCTAAAAAATCGATAGTGATGAATTAATAAATTAGTAAAAACATAATTTATCTTACGGACGATTTGAAGCGTAAAATTAGCCAGTACAGTCCTGATTTTAAGTGATTTTTTTTCTTTCTCCAGGCATATGCATGTTTGGAATAAGATTGCGATCACCATCGCTCATTTTTAACACGAAGATCGATGCAGTTTACGTAAAAACGTACCTACATGCTTTTGCGATGTTAGATTAAAATTATTTTCGTAGCCGATTGGCCGGTCTAGCCCGGATTCAGTGGGGCCTTTTAGCGTCCAGACGTTGAAAAAATACAATGAAAATTCATCCGGGGCGTGTACAGTACTTTCTTTTTGAAAAAAAAGTTCGAAAAATATGCTAGGTAATTGAAATTAGGATCGGATAGAAATAGCGTAAGGCTATGTTAACGTAACGTAAATTAATAAATATTGTATATTTCATATTTTGCTACGTGACAAACGGGCAGGATAAATAAACATTCCAGCAAGGAGTTGCGCAATTTTCGTAGCACCGCAGGCGAAAAATCCAGAAATAGGGCGCGACTAAGTGAACTCCAACCCGGCCATATAATCCTCACGACTAAGTTTATTTACTAACAATATTTGCGCGGTCTTTCTCGCACTGAATACGCCAAATGTGTACGAAGTTGCCGGAACGGATAAAACTTAGAGAATGACTTCATATTCGACGGAAAACTATCCGGCTAAAAAGGAGTTCCTGTCCTAAACTTTTATTGCCGCCGATGTACGGTGCGGAATTGTGTGAAATTTGTTTTGTCAAGTTGTTCAAAAAAAAGGTCGACGACGAGGGGAAAAAAAACAACCAGCGGAAAGGACGACGATAATCGAGTAAAACTATTTTAAGAAACTCCGAATTCGGTCAACTTTTGCCGAGCTTATTAAATTAAAACCGGGGGGATGATAAATTATGGGAACCGAGTCCTATTCAAATTACTTTTAGTAGAGTTGTCCAGGAAAACAAAATTTGTCAATTAAAGGAGTATACCAGAAATCTTAAACCAGAACTTTTTTACAAGTACTAATACACTTTTATATTGAAACTTTTAGACTGTTTTTCTTCATTTATAAACATAAAATGTATCATAATATCAAAATGTTATGTGCTATAAAAAATAAGGTTTATCATAAACAGCAGGCTCAAATTGACAATAATGAGCTATTTAAATCAATAAGCAATTGTCACATAATAATCAATTCTCTAATGAACGATGCCAATTTAACGCAAGTAGATAAAAATAAAAAAAATATACAATTTTAACGTTTACTTTTGTGTAAGTGAATATGATGGTTCGATGGAGTTGAACTTACCTACGCAAGGATTGACCCACAAAAGGCGCTGCCAGCCGAGACACTCGTACAATTGGGTCATGTCGGTGCCTTTGCAGGCGCACGTCGTCCTCAGGTCCGTTCCCAAAATGCCCAAAATAGCCGATCGGCATTCCGTCGGCGATCCGGCGCATTTCTTCGTCACGGCGTCCACGGCACACGATTGCTCGTAGTATTCCAATTTCGATCTGGAAATATAAAAATTGCAGGAGCGAAAAAATCGGGCGTACGGCGCGTTGAGTTGTGATTTTGTCGAATGATGATGATGATGACGATGATGATGATGATGATGATGATGAGAGGCGGATTTAAGAGAAGAGAAACGTGAGGGGAATCTTGAAGTTGATTGAGCAAATAAAATAAATTCCCGATAAAAGCTAAAAAATACCAAATACTTTTGTATCTATTAGAACGTTAATGAATACTAGGTCTCAATTTTTGAGTGTATAAAACACACTCTTTTCGATTTCGATTAAAGATAAAACCGATACAAACCGTAAATAATTCAGCCAAACAGCGAGAAAACGATGCGGAAAAAAACTCCCCCGCGGAATTTCGAAATAAGATGATTTCGCGAAGGATTTATCTCGTTCGAGTGAATTATGGCGGAGTTGTTGAGAGACAGAGAGAGGGGCCTTTAAAGGATGTGTAAGTTACCTATCCGGGGTAAACCCGCAGAGGAATTGGATAATCGCAGTCCCGTGTATATCCCGAGATTAGTTTTACAACTTCGAGTTGATATGTCCTGCAAGTAAGGCGTTAAAATGAAGCTCTACGAGTAGCCTGGCAAAAATGTTCGTCCGAAATGGAATTGTGCTCTACTTTATTCTTTTATAACTTTGTTAATTATAAGATTCCTTCGCCCATTATAAGTACAATTCTCTTAATAATTATGAGTTTAAGTTACAGTTTTTTTTAGGTACAATCTCAGCAATATACAGAGTGTAACAAATAGGATGTTATAAATTCTACCTCACATTCTGGGGCCAAAAATTAATTCGTTTCGACCCTATTAGTGGGGAAATCTAAAGTATAGAAAAATAGGGGGTAATTATATGTACATTGACTTAATTTTGACCCAGAATATGTGGCATAATTTATGACCCAACTCTTTGTTGCACACTGTAAGTATCTACATTTACTGTGTAAATGAAATATTCGATAAAAATTCGATATTCTATTTGACGAGGTACTTATTAGACCGAACAATATTTCACTTGAACGGTAAGTCCATGGCAACTTCCTAATACCCGATGAAAATAAATTCGCTCGGAAATGATTTTCGCTCCCTAGACGAACGAAAAGCCGAAAGACGCGTTTGTTTTCGTTGTGTTTTCTAAAATATTAAAGCTTTTCCGACGTTTAAGTTTAAATATTTGCTTACCTGCACTCATTGTTCTCCCGGCAAACTTCCGCCAGATGTAAGCAAGAAGGAGGCGGCACCTCCTCCGTCCTTTGGGCGCATACCGGGTGGAGTTTTTCTTGGGCGATCAGGCAGGCGTCTTCTTTGTTATCCGTTTTTCTGTTAAATACAAAGGGTATTAATTAAGTAGGTATCCGCTCGAATGCTTATTTTATTTACTTGCAAAGGTATTGTGTTATCTCTTAATAATGCGTATTCTAAATAAACCTCTGCATAGGTACAGTGCAACACAGTGAGGACCAAAAGTCCGTCGCCCCCCCTTTAACTTTTGAATGGTAAGAACTTATCTCGCGCAATTTGGGATGATTATAGTGTAGTAAAAATACTATTTTTTGACGTAAAAATGACAGTTGAAACTTTCAAAATGACAGTTAGGCTCCATTTTGAATCTTTTTTCTTATGGAAAGACGGGTCAAGTGACACCTCGTTATAAAGGTAATTTCATTCTTAAGTCAACCCCCAAATTTGAAAACATTTTATTAACGCGTATTCACGTGAAAACCAATTTAGTTTTAACCCCCGAGCATATTGATACATTTAAGAATTAATTCTGAACGTACTATAAAATGTGTCAATTAATTGTTGCTATGGTTTCTTGGCTCTGACATTTATTTGTTAAATTTAAAGTTGATGAAAGTGACAATGGCTCGTGCTTTAAACGAAAAAGATGCGCAATGGTTTCTATTAATATAAATCCCGCAGGTTATATTTAGATTTATTTTTGTCGCAATGTAGGTAGTGTTAGAAAAACGTGTACTGATTTATTTTTCGGGTAAAACTTGTGTGTTTGGTCCTTCGATAAAAAATTTATTATGTTTTCATGCATCATTATTAATTTCCGAAGCCGAAGGGCTTTAATGGTTAAGTAATTTAACGATTCTAACAAGTTCCAATAACATCGCAAAATGTAGGTCAAAACGAAAACAGTGGCGCTGGTAGTAACAATTAAGAACGCTAAATTATCTAACAAACTGATCTTATTATTTATAACTTCGACGCATTCATTTGCTCATATATTATTTATGCGACTGCTGACAATTTAATCGATATGTTTGAACAATAAGATATTTATTAGTTGGATGAAAAATAATTTAATATCATAAAATATTAATTTAAATTTATTTGATGAACTCATCAGCATATGAAAATTAATTCGGGGCGCTCTCCACGACAGCTAAATATTTTACATTTTCAGAATAATTGAAATAATGGTAATTAGGTAAATATAATACATAATACTATTCACAATTATATCCGCAAGTACAAAAATACTATATTATTCGTTGAAATTCCAGGTAATCAAATTCTGTAATTTAAGCGACGTCGATTCCTTCGGCATACGTACGCGCGCTAAGAAAATAGCTAATTTGTGTGTAGATTGATTTTTTATAAATCATTCTAATCTTTTGAGCGTTTCCAAAAAAATATTTACCCAATTTCCGGGCGATACGTCACTGCTGGCCACTTTCTTGTGGGGCCAAACATCGAGCACTTTCGTATTAAAGAGGTTGTGATATATTCAGAGTGCGCCGCACAAATGACGGAAACCATCAATCAATTTTTCAATAGATTTGTTAATTTTTTATTAGCCAAATTGGTTTTCTGGTCTGGCGAGTATTTTTTAACATTTCCAACAATTACTTTCAATAACAATGGAGGAATTGCCAACACTAAAGTCGGTTAACGTTTTAGTTATTTTTTTCAATACGGAATTGTAATTGTAAAATTTATTTTTCGAACCTCCGTGGAATGGTAAACAAAATGGGTAAATTTGCACAATCACACACACCACGCACGCACACTTATACTGATTATTATTTGATGTTTGGTTGAATAATGTCTCTGTTTTGAGGTAAACATATTGGTATTGCATTAAATTCGCAATTAATTCAATAAGGACAAATCGTAATATTGGAAATTCGGGAAATTGCCTAATGGATTTAAACAGTTATTATGGTTAAATATAATTGCACCGCGGATATTCGGAAACGCCATGCATCATCTGCCTGCAACATTCCCGATTCAAAATTCACCACCCGACCTTAAAAGCTTTCTGTTCCAACCAGCACTAATATGACATAAAGCAGTTAATAATATCTACCTATTTAGGGACGAATTAAAACGTGTTAATACAAGTCAAAACACCATCAAATTAGTTTTTCGAATTATTAAATGTATATATCAAACTTACTTGCAAAGACAAAAGGCAATTTCCACATTCCAAGGAAAATCCGGCTTGCCGTAGAACTTCTGCAACGCTTCCATGCAGGAGTTTCTGTTGCAGCGCGACATGTCGCAATGGTGTAACACGGGATTCAAAAGCATGCGACACTTGTAGACGTTGTTGCAACTCGTCAGGGCAGTATGACATGTGCTTTGAAACACAATTTTCTCGACTTCGTTGTAATCCTCCGGACCTGCAAGCGATTTGCTCGGTTTCACTTTAAAATTTGCCAAGTTTCATTGTTCATTCGCGAAATTGTTTAGCCATTGAAACGCTCAAAAACTTCCTTTGTAAACGAAAATTATGAATTAAAATAACTACCAATACAAAGTGTTTAATTGGTAAACTTTAGGTGTAAATTTCCGCTAAGTTTATAAGTAGAACTGTTTATTTAAACACCCGGTAATTTACCTCTTTAAATACTCCTTTGTAATTTAAGAAGTATCTTCAATAGAATTTTTTACACACAAATTTTTGAGTGTTTTCGAAAACTACTTTCGCAATTGAACAATTTCTCTACCTAAAACAGTTAACACACACATAAATATTTTTAACATTGATACAACAAATGAAAGTTTGGAAAACGGTTTGTTAATTTTTGTAATATTCGTTAGATAAAATACCGTGCCTACGAGATGATTGAGTGAATAATCCATTCAAAAATAATAAAGTTTTAACTACGGTTTGGTAAATTATCGATTAGGAGGGAACAATATTTTTAAATGAATAAATATTGAATGAACTCGAATGATTCAAAAATTACTGGAAAAATTTTGCGGCTAAATGTACTTTAGGCCTAAAAAACCAATTTCCGCGTGAAAAGTTTGTTAAACGTTTTTCTAATTTCGGTCCATTGAGTTTTAAACAATTTTAGATATCTATCAAAAAGGTGAATTAGTAAAAAAACGTCCAAAAACTATTAATTACTACAGAAGTACAAAACTGCATGCAGGTAATCGCCTTGAAATAGGCGAAACAGACACAAATTATACCGCAGAACTATAAATTTACAGTAAATAGTAACAATCTGGAATGGTTATTATACAGTGGATAGTCCGTAAGTAATAGGCCATACAATAACACTGAATTTCTGACATTAAGTTAATATTGCGATGAATTTATTAATGTTATTCCAAAAGTTGCTTTTAACTAGGATACAGGGTGATAAAGTTAATATTGCATTACTAATTTTCTCACATACACAACTTTATTATAGATATTTTACACTATTGATATACATGTATGTAATTGGTTTTTGGGGATAGAGAAAATATATTTTTATTTGAAATAATTGAAATAGAAAATCCCTGCTAACCAATTTTGAAACATTACGAACGCTATGTTAAAAATATAATTGACCTCTATTCTCTGTATCATTTATATCAACTTTGTATCAAATATCAACTTGGCTAATGTAAATATGATTAAATCGCATTATTTTAATATCAATGATTCAGTATTACTTTATTGACTAATCATTTCGGAACATTCTGTATATAGGGTATCTCACAAAGACCTTAAACTGTCCATGTATGATGGGAACTTATGATAATTTTATGAAAATTTCTAGTATGGATTTTTAGAATAGTATTTTTACTTTATGGCATTATTCACGGTCACACCAAAGTAACTTTCTTTTTTAATTAATTGCGCACTCTATTAATAAATGAGACAATATAAAATGCTTCGCGGAGAATAAGAAAGTTACGCCTAATTTCAAATACAACCGAAAGTGCCATAAAAAGCGCAATAGCCCTAGAAATTTCCCCAAAAATACCCTAAGTAGTTTTCCATGTATGTATAGTTTAAGGCCGCCGCGGGAGATCCCGGGTTATATTTGTCCGCCGTTCTGCGGTACATTCAGGAAATACCTACTTGGCGACTTTTGTTGGTATATGTTGTTGTCAACACCGCCATATTCGGCCTCTTCCGGATATTTCCTACTGAGCGACGACGTGCGTTCTTTGTTCTTTAAGACGCTCACGCTTATGTGGTCGTAGCCAGCGTGAGCCTCTTGACCGTTGACCGCGTCAACCAGCGGGTTTTCGACCAAGCCGATGCCTAGGTCGTCGTCATATGACGTGGCACCAGCCGCAGCGGACGTATTGTCCGACGAAGCTGCGAAATGACCGTTACTGAATCGTTCTGCCCGATAGCTTTTGTATCACTGTTCAGTGTCAAGTGTCATGGCGCTCAGTTATTATTTTTTCATCGACTTTTGCGGGTAGGTACACCAATCGGTAGACAATTTTTGTTGGTAGATACATTTACGTAGCATGCATGAGGTTGAAATTATTGGTTAATTATTAATTTGGGTAATTATTAACCAGTAATTGCAGATATGGGACACACTGGTTGACTAGAGTTAGTACAATAGAATAGAGGGATTAGTGCTGTGTCATAGAGTAATAAAATAGATGCACCATTCAAATTTATTATAGATATTTTATTAACGATTTGTTCATATGAAGACCCTTTTTAATTATTGATAGTATTTTATTAATTCTCTATTAGTGCTTTAAGAATCTTTAAACCTTTACAGCCTTATTCATAGACGCCTCCTTAAAATGATGTTAAAATACCACTAGATAGGGGCCATTAACATCATACTAACAAGCCACTAACGTTTCCTATTCGTAGTCGCATATTTCTGTACCACTAGTTAAAATAATGGTAGCCAAAAAATGAATGTGACAACAACGGAAATAACTTAAAATTTTATTTTATATTGGAGATTTTGGTTATGTTATTGACGTTATTGTGTCAGACGCACGTGCTGAGATCAATTGGGTGATGGGAAAAAGGATAAAATTCCAATGAACCTTATTTTTGGGAAAACAAAAAAACTTTTTACGGCGAAACCCGTTATTTAACAAAAATTATGAATATTAGCCAATTATACACTTTGACCAAGTACGTTTGATACCAAAGTTTGAAAAGTCAGACTCTTTGGTAACTAGCTATTGGTATTTGAAAGTACAACAATCTTATCCTTTTTCCTCTCAAAATGCAAAAAATAGTTAAAAAAAACTAAAAACTGTTTTTTTTTCAACATCTTTAATAAAATTTTGTAATAAGGCTGTAATAAGGCTGCAAAAATTTTAAATTATTTAATTTTTGTTGATGTTTTCATCATTTCATTTTAAAATTTTTCCATCTAAAAAATTCCCCACTTACACATCATGGTGTATAAAGCTTGTAGTGAGTAGAACGCGGAGATAAAGTTCGCAAAAAATGACGAATACAGTGCAGGCAGCAGCAAATAAAATAATGTGTGGGAAATTTAACAAATCGAGTTATATTTCAAAGGATCCATCAGTTGGCGAGATTGTGAGGCGGAAAGTGAAAGAAAAGCGTGAGAAACAATTTGAATGCATGTAGCATTTTGTACATAGGATATTTTATTTACGTCTCGAAAATTCCGCGTGATGCGCTGCATAGAAAAATTGAGTTATATTAGATTGTTTTTTTTATCGTAACTCCGCTAAATTGATTCTGATATTCTGTCGGAATTCCTCTAGGGTATGTTAAAAAGATTAAATATATTTTTTCCTCTAATATCTTGTTTTAACGCGTAGGTAGCTTCATAATTAATTTCTGTAAGATCAATTTTGTTTTACAACAAATTTCTGAGACTAATATATCCTATCCTGTATGAAATTTAATACCATCGGTATTCGAAAATGAATTTAATATGCACATTAAATTTTGAGTAAATCTAGAGTTAAATTAACAAGTGCACCGAAAAGGGTGCGGAGTTTAAACTCGTTAAAAAAATTGAAATTAATATTTTGATTAAAAAAATAATGAGTGTGCTTTACCCAACTAATTAGAAAATTTAATTATTTTCGTATCGGATTTATTTTAATGTTTAATAACTTTCCATCCCTACATAGGTATATTGTTATTGTTTATTTTGCCAGTTTGTTGCGGATCTAATATAAATTTGTGAATCGTACGTTTGTTTGCAAATCATTTCCATAGCACAACAAGGATTCCTAAATAATACTAGCGTGCTTGTATACGATATCGTGATATATCTACCCAGTAGAAAATCATTTTGTTATAGCAAATATTGTATGAGGAAATAAAAATAATTTAATGAACAAAACTTTCATAACGTATAGAGTTTTGGGTTTGTAGTCTACCTACAATTTCCACGAAAATAGGTTATCAAAAATTGTCTACAGAAACCAGGAGAGCTGCAAAAACTGTATTTAATAATTCATAATAACAAAATGTCGATAGTAATTTGGTTGGTCTATCGAAAATTAAGTGAATGAGAAAATAAAAAAATATGAATCGTTTGCTACAACTTTGATGAAGCAATTTATATAGTTATTGATCATTCGTTTGGGTTTATTACTGTGTTATTAGTCCTCGTTACGTTAAGTAGGTTTCCAAACTAATTTTTAGTTACGTGTATTATTCCAATATTATCTTCAAAGGAACCTTTTCAACTCCATTGAGGTTCATAGGTTACAGAAATGTTTGTGTCGCCGGTACAATTTTAATTAATTCTCATGTCTCTGCATTACCGCAAGAGCGTAAAAGTTTAAAAATCTCTCGTTAATAAATAGAGTGTTTGCGTTTTCCTTTGTTCTGTTCGACATTTTTTGCCTCGAAACGTAAAACAAAAATAATACAGTTATTAGTCGTAAACATTATAATTTTATGAGGGCCATAACGCTTGCTTCTATAGGCTCAATAAAATTATATCTCGGGTTGAACAGCACTTCAATAAGAGCGTCGAATCGATCTTACGCTGTTGCTAACAAAATATTTTTATTTTTTGTACTGGCTACGAAACCTACCTACGTTTTTGTAAGTTTGTGGTAGGTTTAATTTCGATATAAAAATTTAAAATTTTGGGTAAAATATAAGCAATCATTGAAATCCTCCGCCATAATTTAAAAAAGGCCAATTTTTGCAAGGTTAAATTTTTAAACGAGGTAGTGTTCGTGGCGGAATGGTAGCCACTGCCGTTTTTTTTTACGAACGCAATTTCCATTTTATATCTCCACCATTTTTCTCCATCTTTTCAAAGTCATGAAGCAAAAAATAATCCATAATTGTTACACGGAAAGCACGCACACTACTAACCATTGACTTGGAAAAGAAAATACCGGCCCGCGAAAAAGGAACGCAACGCATTGTGTATGCTAATTATGATGAATTTGATATTTATTTTCATTTGGGCTTTCTTTGGCCCATTTCCTCGATATTCCCCCGGGCTTTTGGGCCAGGAAAAGGACAGTAGTTATAAATTATACATTTCTCTTTTTTACTAAATTTTCAACCAGATGAATTTATCACCTAAAAAATATAAATTTATTCTGCTCTAACGGATGTAAACATGCAAATTTGTAACTCAAATATGTTAATTCAAAATTAATCACGATTGGCGAATCACTGTAATATAAACATAATGCGACAAATATAGCTGGAGACTTGAGCTGCGCGACCTTGAAATGAATTTCCCACGTCTACAGCTATACTTATCGATCTGGTAGAGGCCGTGTATTCGCTAGAAATTGTCCGGAAATTGGTGTTACCCTTTCGCAACAAAATAGAAATTTACTCTCACCATCGATATCCGATTCTGATTCGCCGTGGATCTCCGAAGAAGCCTGCTCGGACGTGTCGAGAGATCCTCCTACCGAGTGAGAGTCAAACTCAGTGCCGACTACGCTTGCGTTTGTGCCAAGGTTCGAATCTACGGCCGTGCTGTAGCCTGTGTAGGTGCTCGAGCCTGTGAAGGTGCCCGTGCCTGTGCCGCTTACACTATCTGTGCTAGTACATGCGGAAAGTTACTGACTATATAGGTAAGAGAGAGGCGAGAGCCGACTGGACTAGGCCGATGCACGCTAAAGCCTAGCGCCATCCCTCGAACTGGCATTAGCGTAAGGAGTTTAGCGTGCGGCCTGGCCCGATTTGGACGAGGGCCAAGTTGATAAAAGGGCGCGATCAGGAAGGGTGTCGCACCGGCTCTTTGCTTCCAGCGGGGAAATACAGAATAAACTTATCTAACGGTCAATATCAAAAGGTTATCTATAGGTGTAGCGTTGTGGGTTTCTAAGGCAGGCGTTGACCGGATGCAAGAAGCAAATCTCGTTAGGACAGGAAACCGGAGCTTTTTGTTTCTGGTCGTTTAGCCCGGATATCGATACCGCCCTGTTTGTTTAATGCTATCGCCCTAAAGTGGGTATACTATATGGCATAGTCTATGGGATTCTGCTATGGTTCATTCCTACTATGAATGTAAAAATAACTTGGTATCACTGGATGCATGAGTCGCTAATAATTCTCTTTAAAAGTTACCAATACGTGTAAGAGAATTGTATAAAAAGTTTTTAACAGACCTCTTAACTCAATAAGTTGAGGCTACTTATCAAAATTAAAAAAATTAAGAGTCTATCGATTTGGGCGTCTTTAGTCAAAATTTTTTCGTAAAAATTTTTTAAGTTTAAGAAGAATTTAAAAAAATTGTGCCGTTGTACCATTGACTAACTCCATCTAGCGTTGCGACAATTTAATCGGTATGGGGTAGATTTGGATTAAGATAAGGAACTGTTTATTAAAGCACGAACTCTTTTTCTCCCTTTCGATGTTTTAACGAAATAAAAGGCGACAAAGCGAAATTTGAAAATTTTAACCATGAACCAGTTTGCAGAATTAATAGCTATACCTACTTAATATGATAGCCCTTCGAGATTTACTCCCTTTATATTAGACTAATGTATTTTAATTGAACTCGTAATAAATATACTTATGTGTTATAGAAGTATAAAAGAATATTTTATGTATTCGTCGAGAAAGAAATTAGCGAACAATTTTGAAACAACGCTCTATTAGCAAGAGATAAAATTCGATTATTCCATTTATTAATTAAGATAAAGTCCATGCAAATCTGAGAATATCGGGTGTCCTAGAAAACTTTAATCTGCACTAAATTTAGCGCTTTCAATTAAGGTAGACATAATGAATTGGAGAATATGAAGCAATTATTCAACCCATTTTTATAACCTCCAATAATAGACTTTTACTATCTAATTTTAATAAATTCTAGGCCACACTATATACTTTACTAAGCTTTAAAAATAGTTTAAAGGATATTTAAGCGTTTCATGCAGAATACAAGTCAAAATGCAACATGGATATCTAATGATTCAACATAGAGATATGCATACAAAAATTAATCATTCCCATTAATTTATAACAATTTATTGAAATATCCGGGCGCATATAGTAAATGGGAGATAACAATAAAGTTATTAGGATAATAACGAGTAGATATCTTCCATTAATCCTACGATATACAGTTTTAATAACTGGGATTAGAAACGATATCACGAAAATTACGGCATTAAAGCCGATTCCGCCTTAAACGAATACCGAATAGAGTGCCTCCTACAGTTTCATCAACACCGAAAATATTTATGAAAAAGCATTAAGGTTAAGTCCAAATTAGTTTCGCGAAAATCTCTATTAAGAAACTCGAAATTACTTTATTATCTATATACTCGTATGCTGTATTACCGAGGGAAAATAGTGTTTAGGGAAATTATAAAAAAATGCAATTAGTAGAGTAATTGTATTAGCAAAAATATGAGGAAAAATAGAAAGTTGAATTATAAAAAAAAGCTCTTTCAAAAATGATAAATTTCCGGTCTTTTGTATGTTATGAATTGACAATTTTCTTGGCTCATTTCAGTGGAATACTATGTAGTTAAAAAAGTTAATCTATATAGGTTAAATTAAATTAGATTAATAGGATTGAAAAGACTAAACGTATAAAATGTACGAAACACATTACCGAAGAAAAGCGATAAACTACAAACTAAATAGCGACACATGAAGTAACAATAGCCATGGAAAAGGACTTCTATCATTGTCAAATCAAATAAAAAGACTAATATGGTTATCGATCCGTTCAAATTAACAGTGGAAGTCATCGTTCGCGTTGATAAAATATATAAATTCCGATAAAAGCGACACGCCGATTCGAATCGTTGAAACGTGAAGCGTTGGTTTGTTTCTCAACGAACCCGATAAAATTTGTACCTTGGTAAAGGAAAGACGGAGGAGAAGTTTTAGTTAGCCGCGCTCGATAGACACGATTTTCGTGCGATTTACAACGACTACTTAAACGATTTCGAACCGAAAGTGTTTTACGGCTGTATCTGAATAGGAATTGCGATAGTCGAAGTAAGCCGAATATTTTCGAAATAAGATTGTTAACAGAAACATCCACTCTTTAAAGCCATTCAGAAGCAGATTCGGAATTTATTACATGTACCTGCATGCTACAGAAACGATTATAATTATAACAGAATGTTGATTTTATCCGCCGGTTACTATTATACGATCTGGAAGTTTGGCAAAATATGGCTTTACAACTCTGTCGTTTACATGACTGCTTATGTGTACGAATAAGATTTAGTCGGGAAATTAATTCAAAGCACACCATACGGTATTTATATTTCTCGTTACTCATTATGCAAACTAACTATAAAAATGGCGGAAAATGTGAACAGAATGCCCATTTCGCATGCATACTTGGTATTAATTGCGAATAACTGCACAGGAACACGACTCTATGCAAGTTTATTGATTGTATCTGTCATGATTATGCTTCGAGAAATTAACAATGGAAAACGAGAAATATTTATTAATTGATGCGTAATTAAATAAAAAAAAGGAAATTTTAACTGGTAAATTTTTAAAAGACTACCCTGTATATTTGCGCGAAGTAAATTAATTTGCATATGAATAATTAACGATAGTAAATTAATATGCCATTGTATTAAAACAGTTTTGTTTGTCACGTTAAATGTAACACCTTTTTCGCATGGTTTAGCAACATTATTTGGCCATTTAAAGCCGAAAACCGATTTTCCCATTATACATTCTCTTTTATCCCGACGAATTTCATTTAGTATTCTAAATACACCTGTTTTCATTTACTTTTAGCTCGTTTAAACCCCTTGAATAGTTACAACATACTGTATAGTTTACTCGCAAAATCAAAATCCTCTAAAACGTCTACACAAAATATCTCCCTAATTAAAAATATACATAATTTATATATGCGTATCTAATAACAACCAATTCTTGCATGAAATTGTAATATTCGAAAATTTTTGACGAGTCGATAGAGTTTTATTGTTTGCGCAATCATTTATCGGGAATAAATTCATTAGATATCCCGCCCAAAAAAGTGGTGAAAAATCCATGAAAACCCTTAAATCGCTCATGCATGTTACCAAGCGAATGGGAAAGAAAAGGATGATGCGATGAAAAATCAAAAAAAAAGTGAAAGAGATTTGATCGTGCACATTCGTTTTTAGTCTATAGGAAGGTGAAATTAAATTAAGTCATTGTTTACCCGAACAATCAACCTTTGATTGAGGCCGTTAATCTCATTGCTTGATGTATATCGATTAATTAATAAACTCAAATTTGAGGGGATAAAAAAGTTGCTTAAAATCGAGTTTTCTGGATTAGTTACAGCGCGATAGGAATATCTTAAGACATCATCTGCGCAAACTCTAATACTGCGCATCTTATAAACTCTTGGGTCTACAGCTATTCCTGTTTCACTGTAAGTTGATTCAAAATTTTAAACTAATGCATAATTTAACAAAACATGCATAAAAAATCTAACTATTAAATGACATAAAATATACATCAATAATGCGAAATCAGCGAGGACTTGTAGAAAATTCTTAAAAAAACGATGACTATTTAATACTAAAAGTCTATTTACAAACTAAATTCGGGCTATGCATGCCGACCTATAGACTATTCTCTTCGTTTATAAAGAATAAAAGTGACAATAACGGTTTTATTTCGATAACCGCCATGTAACAGCAGCCAACATTCAATACAGAGGATAAATTGTGGTTTTTAGTGTTTTTGAGATTTATAACAGAAAAAAAAATGGTCGATAAATCAAATTTTTTTTCAACATGCTCCATTGTACTGTCGATATACGGACAACAAACTAATCCCAAAAAATATTTCAAAAGCATTTTTGCAATATATTTTTGCGAATTCGGGACAGCACGGATGGAACATTCCAATTTAACATTAAAATAAAATGTATAAATTGATGATATATAGTGGCATCGTTGACCATTGGAATTATGAACTCACCTACGCAGGGATTATGATTGACCATACTAAATATCCTATCGCATCGTTTTTTCATTTGATTGTTGGGGCAAATGCAACCGAACATGGGAGATTTTCTGAGATTCGTCCACGCCTGATAGCACTGATCCCTGAAAAAGAATAACGAAATTAATACAGATTAAACAGCGAGATTTAGGAAAAGGATTTCAAATATTAGCCTACATCAAAAAGATAAAGCTCACAATCATTTCTGCGCAACAATGACGTGACAACATAGGTTTAGTTAGTTATCAGTGTACCTTAATTACACTGTTCCGTCGCAAACAAAGAAAATACAACTGTTTTGTTACCTTATCTCTTAAATTTCGCATGTATGTTCTAATTGACCTATACCGGACTATAGTGAGGTTCTTCGGTGAGAGGCTATGAAGTTTTTGTTTCATATTCACAATTATACAATTCGTTCTAATTTGAACACGGGAAATTTAACGATAATTTTCATACAGTCAATTCAAAAAAATGGTTCATTGGGAATGAGGTTAAGCAAATAAATTATAGTCTGCTAGCGATCAGGAGTTATTGAAATGTTGTGCTTTATTGAAATACTTGTTTGATAACAACAAAAGCGATGAACTTATATTGTAAGTAATTTTTTATTTTGTTATATCCTTTTAGTAGGTATATATTTACTATAGATCCCAGAAGCACAACTATACTGTGTGTGTAGGTCATTTGAACTGGTATTAGAAAAGAACCTTCTATATTGTTAAATTCCATGTATACTAAGTGGCACTATTAAACAAAATAAAATACAAAAGTAAAATAAAAATTATTACTAGGTACTACAAAATTTTGTAATTTCATATTTTTTTCGCTGAGCCATTCCGGCTGTCTATTGTATACAAAATTATGTTCTATTGCCATCTTCTGGTAGTAAACAGAGTATAGTTAATTGACTACGGAATATGAATTGAATAACAATAAATATGTGTCTATACTTTACCTGTCGTCCATGCGGCAGCGGTTGTCTCTGACTTTGCAATTGGCTTTGAAATCCTCGTATAATTTAATGCACTTGTGCTCTTGTTGGCAAACTGAAAGGGCGTGATTACAAGTTGGCAATGCGTCCACAGGATAAGGATCTTTCTCTGCAACAAACGGAACGAAACGTTAAATTTCGCGTACTCGTTTTTTCTCGATATTTTTTGGTCAATTTTCATAAAACAACCCGTTAAATAAACGCCATTTCGGCCGCGAGACCCTTTTGATTTAAGGATCGCGCGGGTGGATGTATGGGAGGGAGAAAGTGCGATTCGAATAGTCGGCATCCGACCGGATAAGGATCTTTCGGCGTAACAAAGCCAAAGAGAGATTCTCTTTTGTTTATGTTGTCACTTGGTCGGGTGTTAATAGGGACGAGGACTTCACTCCGAATTGGAGATATTTACTGCCCCGAGGAGATCGGGGAATCAAGCAGTGGCGTCGATTTCGCATTTCTAATGCCAATCTCACTTGCATCTCACTTACAGTTTCTGCTATTACAATAGCACTCGATTTATCCATGTCGACGTTGTATATTGGAAACGTGTGCTTATATGAGAAATATGACATGTTATATCGATTGTTGGGTTGTAGATTAGTAGATTCGCAGATAATATAGTAAATATACTGTTCGATATAGGTGCAACATGTTGTTTTTTTGATAAATTTACTGCTTGATATTCAAAATATCCCGTAACATTTTAAATTTAGATAACTCGCAATATTTTTTATCAAAAGTACACAGAAATAATGGTTTGTTAATTTAGCATTAATTTAGCATAATCACACTCGAACTCTATTATAATACCTACAACATTTTTTGAAAATTAAAAAAACCACAAAATGCCATATTACTTTCATGGGCATACAAAAATCCACTTAACCAATCCTATTCCGGTTTTTTTTTCTCAGTTACGCCCGTGAGTGTGTATGTGTGTGAAAAAAGGACAAAAAAGAACTCGAAAAGGATTTGTTGGCCTGACGGAATTGGAAAAGTACGTGTTATAGCGGGACGGGAAAAGGGGTATATCCCTGTTGTGGCGGCGCGGAGAGAAGCGGTTTACTTCAATTAAGGTTAAAAAGAAAATGGAGTTCTTATTTTTTTCGTCGCCCTTTTTGGAAAATGCTCTTATCCGGGAGTTTAGTTTTGACCGAAGCGTCGACATCGGACGTCTTCCCGCTATCTGCAAGGAACGCTTTTCTGCGACAATTTATTGCGGTTTGCCGGACAGTTAAAAACTTTCGACCGGTTTCACGCAAAGCGCTAATGTTAATTCGTTTAATTCCAGCTAATGCTTTAATACTATAAATGTTTAAATCCTTAATTCCAACCGGAGATTAAACAGGTATAGGTGTAAATCAATCCTATAAATAATGCATGCGTATGTTAAACAAGTCGTCAAATGATTAGATTTAGGAAATTGAAATAAATAGAAAATAATATAGGATTGAGATATTGCGGTGTTGTCAAATTGTAATTTTTTCGAGTACATTTAAAAAAAATCGTGTTTTACAAGTGAAATAAATGTTCCAATAACTAAATGTCACAACCTGATTAACATGGAAATCGTTTATTTGCCGAACAATACATTTTTAGGAGCATACGAAATGTACACACAACGCTTTTGTCGGTCCACTCTCCATTCCACGCGTTTCTCTTTTATTCGCGTTTCATTTACACGTCGTCGTCCAAACGTAAAGGTTATCTTTTGTATCTTTTAGTTGGAACTTATTGCCCTTTTCAGCGGTTTTTCACGTACCCGTTTCGCCGGCTTTCCGCAGGGCGGAAAAATCCGTCGCCTCCCTTTCCGAGCGAGTGCCGTCGTTCGTTCGAATATGAATTTTCGGATTCTCCCCGATATGAATGTTCGACGGAGCGTTTTTCGTTATCCGAATTACCATCTAATTACACACGCGTTAACAATGTAATCCCATCCGCGTCGCAGTCAATAAAAGTAATTTGCGCCGAGGAAATTTACACTAACAATCTACTCCCCAAATCGTACCTTATCTATCTCCCGAACAGATAATTTACTTAGACCAATTACATAAATCGAAATTCTGATTCGCCCCCGATTTCATCCAGCGCTTTTACCGGAACCGAACCCGATACAGAGTTAATGCAATCGATGTGTTTACGTTTTCAAAGGTAACGCTAATGCTTTTAGACATGAAGAAACGTAATTAAAAATATGTATATTATGTTTTGTTTTTTTGTAGCTATTGTAAGATTTTTTTTATTGAATTAACTAAATGGGTAGAATGTGATGTGTAGCTTTAGATTAGGGCGCGTTTACCCTTTTTTACCTTTTTTCGACCTTTTTTACCGCATCCCAAATTACTTCCTTCAACTTGTTAAATGTCCAAAGAGGGTTGAATAGAATTAAAAAAAATGTTATTGTAATGGGAAACAGTCAGTTCGAAAAAACAAGGCTAAAATGTTGATTTTGTTATACTTACTCCTCATCAAAAATTGAGGAGATGAGAATAAAGATGCATCAAGTAAAAACAAGTAACTTACTTGGTTCTAAATTATTATAGATGTATAATAGCTACATGAACGTTACCCTTATAACATACGATTGAGGATGTTAATACTTTCTGTTAGTATTCCAGCAAATTAGATTAAGTCTGTTTTCTCAGGCGGCTAACCTGCCGATAATCCGATATGAGGACCCTCTCTCGCAGCGATTTTGGTCATTTTGTAATTGGATTTTTCGACAATCTGCTATTTTATTATGTCCCAACGATTAGCCGGAGATTGCTTTTTTGTGTTTCGTGTTTTTTTTTCTGCCGAAGAACCCGCCCGTTTGACTAAAAACGCCGAATTAGCAACGGGATGTTCCGAGCGGCGAAAATTTACATACCGGGAAATCAAATTTTTGCTACTGATTTGCATCGAGCGGAGAATATGCATTCGCTAGTGTAATTTTATTGCCGATTCAACAAGACCTGACACACAAACCCGCTTTATAACGGAACGAGACTGGAGTTTCATTTCGAATTGTCTGTGAGCTCCTAGCCGACATAAAAATTTCAAAGCTACACTACTCATTCTTGTCGGGAAATTGATGATTTGTTTTGTTTTTTATTAGACAGGATCGGCATTTACCAAACCAGATTTTCATAAATACATTTTTTACAAGAAATGCTATACAGAAAGCAAAACTTTCTTAAATTCTAACTAATAGTGTTGATTAATGGTAAGTATGAAGTGTCTTAGGGGTGGATAACTGAAGCGAAATGAATACTATCTATAATAATCCAATACGGATCTGATATCAACTCTTATACAAGATATTATAAGGTATACATAACTTCGGGAACTCGGGTAAACATCTATTTTTGTCTAAGAATGCGAATATAACGAAACTTTGCTTTGAAATGGGAAATTTTAAGAATAAATGCCCCTCGACTCAGTGAAAATGTTTTTAGCCGGTTTACCATTCTCTCGCATGACTGCTTGTTTGTGTTTCATCCCGTCTCCTTGAGAAGCTAAAAATGCAATATTTACGAGCCGACTTTTGGGGACGAATGCATATTAAACGGGCCCTTTAACCGGGTTTATTCCAATCGGTAATTCCAATCGGTACTTACCTTTTTTCATGACGAAAACGCACGGATGATCGAAGAGGAAGTCCCTGAAGGAATTGCACTCTGGATCCACGTGGGGCTCTCGACAGAGGCACGTGGGTTTGAAGAACGGAAACGCCTGCAGAGTCCGAAGGGCGGCCTGGCATTTCGTTACGGTCACGGTTGAACATGCAACTGAAACAGAACGGATATATTCAGTTAGTAGGTCGGACTATTTTTACCCTGTTTTACACTAAATCAACCGCCCGAGAGCGCCGGCTGTTGTAATATTTAACTTCAGTAAATGCGGCAACGAGTAGTTTATAATGAGATTAATCCGCAGCGGACTCGTATACATGTACAATTCGGAAGAGAAATGACCGAATTAATCTTCTTCTTCAGCGATCTGGACCCGGAATCATAAATCCCGTTTCATAAAATCTTAAAATTAATTTAATCCGCATAAAGCGCCGGGCGTCCTCAAAAAGTGGAGTAATTAAAAAGATGATTACCCGCAATAAAACCCACAAAAGGCGTACAGATAAATTTTAATCCGAAGACGGTTTACAAACAAGCGAAACGTCGAGCGGTAAGAGCACAGAAACAAAGTCTCGAGGCTTTGCGTTTATTATACGAATACGGAAACTTCGGATGAATGCAAAAGAAGGAGGAAAGTTTCCCACAAAATTTTACAGGCCAGTACTTAACCTGCTGCAATAATTTCGGCAATAATTTTTTAGTATCTTTACATAAAGATGGTGTTTAAAGAAAATTAAATTCGTTATTTTTATGCGATGTTAAAAAGAATGTGTGTTATTTCAGATTTGAAAACTTTGAATGTTTCAGTATAATTTGGATATCATAAAACTTTCTTAAAATTTTACTCGTTTTAAACGAGATATATCTTATTTAATATAAAGCTACAGAAGTCACTGACTCACTAGGAGACTTTAGTTTTGTTGTTCATTATCAATTTTGTTATCATCTTTAAAACTAAACTGAATAAAGTACCAAATTTTCACTGGCTATAAAAGTTAATCACATCTCCATTTTACCGATAAGCTGTTAACTTTTTTCCGGAAAGCAATCATGAATGTAAGAAATCGCCGGCCGTAGATAAAGCGAATATGGGCAACATTTCTGTAACACCTTACCGGGATAGCTAACCGGATTACCCGATATTCCTGCGGAACACAAAGAACAAATCGCTTATCTGCCAACTTTTATGGATTTTCCCTAAAATATTGATTGGTAAGAACCGTCCTATCACACTTGATTTAAGGGCGCGCTGCTCGAGAACGGGGATAGAAGAAAAATACGAGTTCGGTTGCAGTTAAACATATTTTCGTCGGGGAATCAAAGCGGGTGCCGATCGAAGCTTAAGGTGTAGGTAACATATATAAGGGGTGATTCCCGCGCGAAAAATTTTTTGATAACGCGTTTATTTATTAGCTCCGTGATTTCGAACGCAACGGAACATATTTATCAACTTCCGCATGTCGAGCAGAGAGTTTGAGCACGGAGTAGACTAACTAAAGCATATTTTAACTTTTCAGTCGGGAGGATTTATAGTGATCCTGCAAACCGTTATTTTCCAAGTAATGTACATGCATAATGCGAAGGGCCCCGGGCCCCGTTTTTGAGCCTTTTCAGACGTCTCGTTCGGCTCCTGAGGGATTTGTAAAATTCAAGTGGAATGCATGACCCGGGATTATTTTAATTTATTTCAGTTTTCGGTTTGTTTTAACTTTCTTCGAGCTCCGGTCTTTTTTCAGGGGTGGAGTTTGCAATTATTACAAAAATTTTACATACAGGGTTCTTCATGCAACTTCATCAAGCGCACTGTAAAGCACATAAATAAATATTCATCTATTCGATGTCAGAGTAACGCCGCTGTTTTAATCCAAGATATGGATGGAGAAAATTTTTGCAACACGTTTGCCGTGGTGTAATTTTCTCCGATGACAGTTCGCCCTGACGAATTCGACGGTATTGATAACGTAACGTACACGTTCAGCTTGCTTATCCGCAAAAGAATTTCCTTTCCCAGTCGTCATTTTCCTACCCATCACTTTCAGACCGATGATTACTTTGTACAAACCCATAGCAAATAATCACGTTTTTAGTCGAACATTCGTTTCACATGCGGAACAAACAAAAGTAAAATAATCACTTTTGTATGATAGGGTATACGGTAGGAGCCCATTAATATTTATTTTCAACAATTTACATCCGTTATTTCGCTGTAGTAATTGTAATTCATCATTTTTTTATGAACAGTCCGGTTTTTTACCCTAAAATCTGAGAGTGTATAATAACATATAAGATAATATAATATATTCAACAAAATAACAAATATTTACCTACATCCACTCTGCTGAATTTAATTTTATAAGTTTCATATGTTTTCTTCCAGTTTGAACTGAAGTGGTTATATTCGAACAATATTACCTACTGTTTTATTATCGACGACAGTATTTTACTGCCATAATAACGATATCATTTTGTTCGAATACGAATAAATAAATGCCACGAAAACCTATTTTATTTCATATTAGATACAGCCATTCACAAAAATGTCGACAATCAAATGATATACGATCCGTAGTATTTCACGAAACAATACAGTTTAATTAATAATAAGTAGCTAAGAACAGACGAGTAGAACAATAGTGAGAAAATTAAAGGAATAATGGAAACACCTCATCATAGACGAAAGGAAGAACGTCATAAACTTTATTAGAAAACTTTGGTTACAAAACTTAATTCTTATCATATCATTTCATTAACTAAATCATACTTAAATAACCATAAGCTCTTACATGTACATCTCTTTATAATAGAGTCTATTATAGGAGGAAATTTACGATACCGTACAATACAAAACTCGCCCAACTTCCAACTTCCATCGATCGAGAGTTTCTTAACTTCGGAATAGCCCCAGTTACATTAAGTTAGTCGGAGAAAATTAGGTGTTCATATTTCATAGTTACGAGCTCCATTAGAATATACATCCGACTTTCGGTGTAAATATATTTAATGGTTTCGAATTTAATCTGTTTTGGTGCTAAATGCTCCTATCTCCGAAGTTAAAGCTTATGAAAGAAAATATGATTCACTGATTGTTAACGGAATTTATTACTCCTGATTCTTTTTATTTATTTTACCAACAAAGGTCAATGAATCGTTGGCAAATAAGGCAATAATGGGGGAAAGTAAAGTTAAGTATTATGAACAAAATGGAATATATTGAGTGAAAAAAAAACAATAAACGTAAAACATTTTATTAGCTCACGGAATGCATAATAAACGGAAAAAAAGCTGTTTCATGGGAGCGCGAAAAGTGCGAATTCTTTTCCAATAAAGTCTATAGAAACATTTAAAAAACATCGGCTAAACTTTGACTTCGTCTCTGTAAAATACTTCTATATTTCCAAATGAAATCTTCCATAAATCTTCAAAACCATTCACTAACGTTTAAAAATGTTTCAGAAAAATCTAAAAACTCTTACAACTTCAGTGGTGTTCCAGCCGAAGTATTTTTAGTAGAAAGAAATGAATCAACCTATTTGATAAAAAATAGGAAGATCGTTTCGTAAACTCAAACCTCGTGAATAATAATTTAATAAAAACCAAAATTTACCATCAAAACTTAAATACTATAATGTTATAAATAATATATTTAGTTTAATTATTAAGCAAAAAAATGAATTTTTAATATGCATATTGAATTGCACCTTATAAATGCAGTATTTTTACGAAAAATGGTATTTCATGAAATTCCCATAAACAGTTCAAAAAGTCGCATAAAATGATTGACGACGTCGTTTCGTTCAAAATTCGCTTAAGAGCCGTTTAATTTGTTCCCGGGGGATAATTTCGACCTCTATCTTCCGCCACTGCATTACTCTTCTTTCTATTATGCATGTGCCTGCATTACTCAGAAAAGTAACGCTCGGACGGATCACAATAAATCTTTCTAGCAGTGAGTTCCGTTCCGAACAGTTTCCCTGAGTTCTACATTCTATTGATTGAAAACCGGCAGGGAAAAAAGTCGATGTGAAACGCGATCTAGTTAAAGATAACGTAAATACGTACAGATGTAGGAGCTCCGAGGAGATAAAAAAACCCACGATTTTTTATGGTAAGATGAATAAATTAATTGTTTGTGTTGCTGCCTGGAATAAATGGTTGAAATTTGTTGCGAGAGATTGTTTTGAGCGACAGTAAAGTAAACTGAACAATTCAAAGGAAACTACGCTAACATGAGAACTTAGTTATTAAAATGAGTGCAAATAAGTCTAATTAAAGTGGGCTAAATTGGATTTTAACAAACTTTACAAGAGAAGAACGTTTACTTAAATATTATTTAGCCATTTGCTAGTCATTTAACTATCTAAAAAGAATTATTTATTTACATACCGAAAGTCATTAGATCATATATTTGACCTACTACTGCTAAACTAAAGAGACATTAACATACACTACTTACATCCATAGGGAATCAATTATTACCTATCCAAAAGAGTCAATAATTATCCATCTATAATAAGAGAATCCATTATCTATATTAAATAAAGTAACTTACCCACAAAACCCGCCACTGACTAGCAAATTAAAGTTTGCAACGCAATTTTTGGCGTTTATTGCCAACTCCTCAAAAAAAACTCTCAATTATTTGTAGTCGCCCGCTAAAACCAGTACACGAAATAACTTCCTATTCACAATGGTTTCGGTACGTGTACTTACATACCTTATCGAGGTTATTAGAAATTTATTGGTTCATATTGGTCTGGATATGGGAATGCAATGCCAATACTCGAGCACAAACACGATTTAATACTAATACCACGGCATAACCAAAGACGTATCGTCTTGCTTTAATCAATTCCCTTAACGGGCGACTAGCCGAGGGACCAAAGGACGCGACATCGACGCATATTATCCTAATGGAGATGTTCCAGACCGATTAGGTTCCGTGTGGCGCCGAAAGAAAATGCCCCGTAGTTGTTCCGGATTGATGGGAACGCCACTGCTCACGGAAGGCGACACTCGAACGCCGTTTATTTCTCTCGGAAATTATGATGTAACGACATGGGAACCCAATTTTTGGCGTTTCGCGAAGACCGTATTTCGAAATTTTTAGGTAAAATTGATGTCGGCACCGGGCGAACGCCGCAAATAAGCTCCGAACA